TAATCTTATTAAAGAAGTGTGTTATATTCCATAACATTGTCTTGTGTTTTGTTATATGTTTATATAGTATGAGGGTTGACATTTATAAATATTAAACAATAAATACTAACCATCCAGTATATATCATAACTGGGTGATAATTGTAAAGCTGTATTATATATTTCTACAATATCCTTCTCACTATGAACATGATGTTTATATAGTAATAAATAATGATGCCACAAATCACTATTAGTCTTATTAGATTCAATACCTCGAGCTAATACATGTAATGCCTTATCTAAACTTGATTTGCTGTTCCTGAAATGAATGGAAACAGGTTCAAATAAATTTTCTAGTTCCAATCAAGAAAAAAAATGCCATTAATATTCAGTTAACATTCCAAACAATAACAAAAAAGCCGTTAGCAGATATGAGGTTTGGTTTTTGGTTTAATTGTATGTACATGTATTTGCAACACTATTTTAGATCACATGTGGGCTATTTAGCCTCCCCTTGCCTTATTCTTGCATGTTCATTTTCACCACTTTATATCGTATAACATTGGAAATTTTTAAAGGTAAGGGTGTGGGCACATGAACGGTCTTATTGAGTAAAATCTCCTGTGTGCTTCCACAATACGACATGGTTTATATAGAGATTATAGGATTTATAATGTCAAACTCATGACAAGACTCTAGTCAGTGACAAAAATCAGCAACCAAGACCACTCACCTATCAGAATCATTGAGTTTTTTATAGGACAGTTTAATCCATAAAGGTATATTAGTAGGGTCATCTAATACTCCACTCTCCATATCTAACATTTCATTATCATCTTTAATAAAATATCTTATATCTTCTTCTTTAATAATATCATCTTCAGATTTTAATCTTGTATTTATATCTGAAATACAGAGAGCAGTTCCGCATCAGCTTCCGTTTAAGCCCTAAAAATTGAGGTGTAACTATGTTGGTATCATGGTTAAGTTAAAAATTACCCAAATAAAAAAAACACAAAAAATAACCACTCTCAGCAACATAACTACGGTAATTTAACTTAAAATTGGTGTATACCTACACCTTGAATTTATAGGTAATGCTCTTGACCACAGTTTTTGAAGTTGATGTATTTTGCTATTAGATCTTTATGAGTGTTGCTGAGAATCACTCCATAGAGCAAGGAAAAAAAATTCTGATCAGGAGAAAATTGTCTTACTTGCTGGAATTTCAGGTTTATAATTAGTCAGTGCAGTACAGTTTTCTTCTACTGCAGTTGGTCTCCAGTTTCTACTTTCATAAAACATTGTAAATGGAGGCACTGAAAAATATCCATGTGAATATGCTGAGTAAATAGAATTTTAACAAATTAAATGAATAAAGTGAATGAAATTTATCAACCAATGGAAGTATTAAAGATCCCAACTGCAAATGAAACCCGAAATCCAAAACAACATATTTTCACATGAAGAAGTATATCAATCGTAAGTGAGTAAGTATTTCATAATGAATATGATTTTTATTGGTTGTATATAAATACTGATTAACAGTTTGTATAAAATTCTTAGACAATGTTAAAGGGACAGGTAGACCATTTTTTTGACCAATCATACTTTAGTAACAGAAACTGGAATTTTTTAGCTGAGCTAATCAGTAATAATGTCGATATTTGTGCCTTCAAAGCCATGTGTGTACAGAATTAACTGAGTTTGAATGTTAAAATAACAACTCGTCATTGTAAGATACTCTGTGTTATATAAAAAAAGACATATATAGGAAAAGTGAGTAAAATTCCTTTGTTTGAAATATTTTTAAAGGAATTATGTGATTTTCATACATTTCTAGTACTTCAGAAGACTATTTACATATATCAAGACTAAAATCAACCCCCAAAAATGGCACACCTGTCCCTTTAAACAGAGTTGATTTAGTAACAACAAGAAACATAACTATGTTGAAAAGTGTTTGAGAATAGCTGCTTTACAAGGTTTTAAGTATCCTGTCCATATTTTTATCAGATTTTTCTAATCGGTTGACAGCAAATACATACTTATGGATGAAGTTAAAAAACCAATCTTACCATGTCCAGAAGCCTCATTGACTTTAGATATTAATAATAAACAGATCTGATCATTGGTCATTTTATTACCATGTTGTTTTATTATACCATCTACATATTTACCTAAAAATATATGTTCATTAGTCTAATGTACTATTGGACAGACTGGTACCATTTTTAACAGACTTTGTCCTTATTCATATTCTGTTACGTGAAGTGATACCACTCCTTATAAGGGCAATGGTTCTGGTCAAAAAGATATAAAATTATGAAAAGCAATCTGAAGCAAAATCATGCTATTTATATCACTGTACTGGTGTATTTTGATTGAAATGTGGCCAATTGTAACTATGAAAAAAATCAAAATTTCTTTTGAAATCTCACTTTATCATTAATTGGAATTGATTTAAACAGGAAGAAGGTAGAAATACCAATAAACTTACTAATATAGGCAGGATATTCCTCTATTGGGGTAGATTTGGTAATTCCTGCTAATTTTGGACAGTTTGAAACAATATCTTCCATTATAGATTTATCTGTTAATACAGTATCTCTAATGTGTTGGCTGAAATATATAGATAAAATAAATAATAATCATGTCTAAAATAATAAAACTACAAAGGTCGTTTTCACCCAAAATGCTGAACACAATTAGAAATGTTCTATAGTCAAAGTTTATTTCTATCACACATGATATTGAAATGCGGATTTATTCATATCTAAGTATAAAGATGTCACTGATGCACCCTTGACTGCTGATTGAGCCCACTACAGATGTGTTTGTCGATTTCGATCTGTGGGGATAAGGTTTCAAGTTGAACGATAATTCTGCACACAAATGGAGGTGATTTGATGTCCTTCACGAAGCAGCAGTGCAAGTTCTTTTGATGCAGGTGGTGATCTTCATGTGCAATTGTAGTCCATTGCATGCAAGATCATCCAGTGTTTATAATAATTGGAAATACAAGATGGCTTATTCCCTTCGATTTCATCAGAAACACCATTTTTATGTAAGTGAGAAAAGTCTGAATATCTCGAGTATTGAAAAAAAAGAAGACTTTTGTTGGTGTGTGAAATCTTTGCGATGCTCGTTCACAAAATACATAATAATCACAAGTTAGAACAGACTATTCATATTAACTTACCCCTGACACTTATCATCATTACATTTACCCTGTAAGTCATATCTACACAAAATCTTATTCATATCTATTTTATTACTGTAGGTTGATGATAATATAGACTTATTTTCTTTTGTACGGAAATATGAACTCAATCTGCAAGACAATTACCATAAATTAATCATTCCATAACTTCAAATATTGACAGGACAGCAGCAATAGTTTATTTCCAACTGCTTAAGAATCTTTAATGTACATTGTACTCTGTGATATCCGACATCTGAGTATTCCTACATTCTGCGTAATCCGACATCATTTTCTGGTCCCGATTTATTTCCTTCTTAGGCTAGTTTAAAAAACTATGAGTACTCCGAAACTCTGTATATTCCGAATAACAACACTAATCAGTGGTCCCAACACTCAGAAAAATCTGTATAATCTGACATCTACTCATCTTAATCACTTATCGTCAATTAGATAATTGCTTATTTTATTGATAATCTGGATCAAATCACATGAAAACAAAAGATCGCTGAACAAAATTCTGCTGATTAATCACCGCCGCTTCAAGATCAAGGTCATTGCGTTTAGATCATTCTCGTATCATTCATTATACTGTATAGAACAGAAATATATGCAACTTGACCAATTTATCAAAATTCTCAAGCTATTAATTAACAGGGTCTCAGACGAGCTTTCCAGAACAGCTTGCAATGCAGAAGTCTTTATCAACTTTTGAGCGGAAAACCATCACTGGATCCATGTCTGAAGACTGTTTAATTAACTCAGTATGTTTACCTATATGCTTGAAACTGTAATAAAGGACTGGTGTAAGGTAATTTAGTTAATTCACTGCTGGTATCCTTTATCTTTGGTTTACTGTTCTTCTGTATATCTAAACCTTTCATCTGAAAATACAAGATTACGTTTTCTACCTGATTTTGTTGTTTTGTCTAAGGGTTATTTTATATAAGACAAGGTCCTAATATTATCTAAAAGCACAAGTCTAATTTTAAACAAAATGTTTACTGAATATATTTTTAATAATGATCAATTTGTAGAAAAGAGTATTTTTGTCATTTAAAAAAGAAAGAAAAAGAAAGCTCTATATTTGACAAGAATAACAACTTAGGTTCACCGTTAAGGATCCTTTCTATCAGCTGGTCCGTGGCCATACCTCTCGGCATTGATCTTTCCCATGTTATTCACTAGGAATTATGAGTGAAGATGACTTATTCAAGGTAATCAGATTTTCACCCGCCAATCACGATCGGAACCCACAGCCGCCATTTGCTCAACATAACCATGCAAATGACGTTATGTAAAGAACCAACACTCTAACCGACAGTGCTATAAGTCCACATACAATATACAATAATTACATGTATTTCTGGTGAAGATATAGCAGGATATTGTTTATCATATCTATTATAGATTTATTATATAAAATAATTACCTGTATTACTGGTGAAGATATAGCAGGATATTGTTTATTATATCTATTATAGATTTATTATATAAAATAATTACCTGTATTACTGGGGAAGATATAGCAGGATATTGTTTATTATATCTATTATAGATTTATTATATAAAATAATTACCTGTATTACTGGTGAAGATATAGCAGGATATTGTTTATTATATCTATTATAGATTTATTATATAAAATAATTACCTGTATAACAGGGGAAGATATAGCAGGATATTGTTTATTATATGTATTATAGATTTATTATATAAAATAATTACCTGTATTTCTGGTGAAGATATAGCAGGATATTGTTTATCATATCTATTATAGATTTATTATATAAAATAATTACCTGTATAACAGGGGAAGATATAGCAGGATATTGTTTATTATATGTATTATAGATTTATTATATAAAATAATTACCTGTATTTCTGGTGAAGATATAGCAGGATATTGTTTATTATGTCTATTACAGATTTATTATATAAAATAATTACCTGTATTTCTGGTGAAGATATAGCAGGATATTGTTTATTATATCTATTATAGATTTATTATATAAAATAATTACCTGTATTTCTGGTGAAGATATAGCAGGATATTGTTTATCATATGTATTATAGATTTATTATATAAAATAATTACCTGTATAACAGGGGAAGATATAGCAGGATATTGTTTATCATATCTATTATAGATTTATTATATAAAATAATTACCTGTATAACAGGGGAAGATATAGCAGGATATTGTTTATTATATCTATTATAGATTTATTATATAAAATAATTACCTGTATTACTGGTGAAGATATAGCAGGATATTGTTTATTATATCTATTATAGATTTATTATATAAAATAATTACCTGTATTTCTGGTGAAGATATAGCAGGATATTGTTTATTATATCTATTATAGATTTATTATATAAAATAATTACCTGTATAACAGGGGAAGATATAGCAGGGTATTGTTTATTATATCTATTATAGATTTATTACCTAAAATAATTACCTGTATAACAGGGGAAGATATAGCAGGATATTGTTTATTATATCTATTATAGATTTATTACCTAAAATAATTACCTGTATAACAGGGGAAGATATAGCAGGGTATTGTTTATTATATCTATTATAGATTTATTATACAAAATAATTACCTGTATAACAGGGGAAGATATAGCAGGATATTGTTTATTATATCTATTATAGATTTATTATATAAAATAATTACCTGTATAACAGGGGAAGATATAGCAGGATATTGTTTATTATATCTATTATAGATTTATTATATAAAATAATTACCTGTATAACAGGGGAAGATATAGCAGGATATTGTTTATTATGTCTTCTCACACACCATGTTATAGATTTACTATTTTTTAATATCTTCTCAATCTTTTCTTTCTATGATAAAAAAAAACAGTGGGATTTTAATTCTAATCTGAAGGCCTTTTATTACACCAGACTCATAATTAAATTTAAGCTGAAAATGATATCATATACATGCATGAATCAAGTTACACGTCATAAAACACTGTCCAATATTACATCTGACTTAATTCATCAACTTATTTCCTATTCTTTAATGTGTGATCTATAAATATAAGCATAATTGCATTCCATTGTCTCAAAAGCAGCAAATAGTAAAATTTGAGGCAATACTTTTGATTGGTGAGAATATGTTCATAGTCTTGTAAAGAATCCAAAATTTCAATGATGAAACATGAAAAGTATGTTTTGTATGAGTTTACCTGAAGTTTACAAAGATTATTCAGTTGGTTACCACTGGGTATTTTTAATGTCATAGGTGTGGGTACCTTGGTAGGTGCTGCAGCAAAAAATGACTTATGTTTGTCAGGAGTAGTTACATTAGGTTTGGTACTGGAGTTCATGTCTGCTAAGGAACGTCGTCTGGGTTTAGGTAAACACATCTCTCCCACAGACTCATTCCCTCCAAGTTTTATAGCATCCAAATCCACCTCTGGTGACGTTGGTTTTTTGAATTTTTTCTTGGATTTCAAACTTGCGCCAGTTTGGATGGCTTTGACTGCTTGAGCTTCTTTCAGTGCTCTGATCTTTTCAGCATATTCTTTTTCCAACTGTTGCAGACGTTTTTTCTCTTGCACCAGTCTCTCAGCTGCTAAGGCTTTCTTTGGATGTAACTTGACTGGTGGTGCATTTTCTTTACTCTTCACGTTTTGGGAGAATTCATTATTATCCAACTTGGATTTCTTTACAGCAAGCTGAAAACAAGAAACACAATTTTGAACTTTTATCAAGTCTTATCAGTCTCTTTAATGCAAATGTGATCTTCTGCTACATTTGAAAAAAGGTTGCCTAGCGAATGAGGTATAACTGCCGCAAATACATTTCTATTTTTCATATTCAAAATCTTATTGCTGTTCCCCTACACTTTGGAGGTGCAATCTCATGAGTAAAAACCTGAACAATGTTTAATTTGCTTAGGTAGAATATGTAAATCACTTACATCATTGTTCACAGTAATAGAAATATTAGCTGTTTTACGTTTCTGTTTATTGCCATTATTTTTATTATTATTAGCTGTTGGCTTCTGTACTGTTATCAAACGTGGCTGATATCTCTCTCCATAAACTTCATTACCAAGATCCATGGTCTTTTCTTCTAACTCTTTTAACTTTTCCTTGCTTTTTAATAATCTGTCTTTTACTTGATGGGCCTAAAAATAATATAAATTATTGGTCTTTTGAACACTTGCACCGTCTTCATTAGCCCACATGGTGAAGAAAAGTAGGACGTAAAACTCCATTCATTTCATTTCCTTCAAACACTTTCAAATTCAGGTAGGCAAGACATACATTCAAATTTGGAATGAGAATTAACAAAAACATGATATGTTCACACAATAACAAAATTTATAGCAGCATTAATCTTTTGAAAAGGCATCACTTTAGCATTTTAACTCATCAATACATAAGAATACTAATTTTCATCCAATTTCTAAGCCTTAATCAATAATCTTTATTAACTAACTTTTAGATTGTTGGGATTAGACATTATACATTGAATTTATTCTGATTCATGGGTAATTTTCAATCAAAATTTCATCCAAAAATCAAACTCATCCATTACCAGTCTAATTAAAATTAGACCTAACTTCTGTTCTTATCTTATTAGTTTCATTTCGAATGTTTTATTAGCTATTAGCTTTGAATGTAACCACTACAGTAAGGTCTAACACTGTCCTTCTTGACTTTTCAACCTTTGCTTGACCTCTGTTTTAACCAATCACGTGGCTGCCCTTTCCAGCGACGGGATTATGTGATGCGCAATAGGTCAATAGGTGCATTCTGAGAGGTTAGACTAGACTAGTGGACTTGATAAGCTAGTCTAATAAAAACAAAGGTCAAGCAAAGGTTAACAGAATGAAAAGTCAAGAAGGACAGTGTTAGACCTTACTGTAGTGGTTACATTCAAAGCTAATAGCTAATAAAACATTTGAAACGAAACTAATAAAATACGAACAGAAGTTAAGTCTAATTTTAATTCGACTGATACATTACCTTGTCTAGATACAAAAGCATATCAAAACAACGCTTTTATTCATGCTAATCTATAAAATAACATACAACTAACCTGTTTTTTGGCTTGCTCTAGTTGTTGTTTATTAGCTTGTGCTATTTTCTCTGCTGCTAACAACTGTTCACGTAAAGACTTGACTTTATCTGTAGCTGTTTTTAAACTAGTTAGATATTTATTAGCTCTACCAGTATATAATTTTAACATCGTCTGATCTTTAGTTATCATTTCTCTAAATACAGAACATAAAAATATTAATATACAAAGTTATCTATACCTTCCAAGGTTCTTAGCAATGGCTAACCAGAAGATTCAAGGTTCAAACTTAGCAAAGGGTAATATAATACCTTCAGATTTTCAACTTAGTTGTTAAAGGTAGACAGGCTGACATGGAAAAAGCGTGCAGTTGTAAATCGAGGCCCTGTGTGCTAAAGGCTATGAACATTAAAGAGCCCTGGACAATTGGCAATTCCCACAAAGTAGGTTAATTCCGCTGCCACTGTACTTGCACAATATCCATCACTAAATACTGCATACATTTGAGATGAAAAAAATTAAGACGTTAAAAAAAAACACCATTGGATTTTACATATCATCCAGTCTTTTTAAGTGTTCTACATACATGATTCCCCTGGGCACAGAGGGCAATGAAAATATTCACCAAAACATTAAGATTAGTATGTCAAATACTTGATTAAGTAGGGTAGTATTAATTCTGATTTGTTACTAAAAACCCCAAATTTGAATCCAATTTTGATTAAGAACAATGAAGATTGAGATGTGGTTTGATAAAAAAAAAAAAATGATGACCAAAATTTAAAGTAAGCCTGAGAAATTACCAACCTTTGTTTTGACATTTCTTTCTCAAAACCTTGTACTTCTTTTACTTTCAACATTTGTATTTTTGTTTTTTCTGCAGCAGAATTCACCTAAAATTATCAACACCAAAACACTTTAAGTCATGATAATTTTGTATCAATTGAAATGATCAAAATAAAGAATGATTATTATAGTAAAAAAAACTTTCATTGAGACTGTTGCTTCATGTTTCATATATTTATCAATTTTGTATAGTCAAGATATTAAAGATGGGTTCCCTTTTTTCATTTATGAAAATGAAAATGCTAATACTTATATGAATAGAAAGTAGAGGTGTTCTAATGACTTGGTAAAATACCAGTTTGTCTCACATGTCTATAATTCAATTCATAATTAGCTCAATAAGAATAGAATTATCAGCAGAATTACAATGAGTGACTGATCAAGAAAGGTCAAAAAGTCTTTTTTTGTTTATCCAGACTGTACATACATAAAGATAAATCTGTCAAATAAGTCCTTTCAAATTGTACACATGTTGAGACTCACAAATATTTTTTTTATCAAATATAGACAATGTCATGTATATTCAAAAAACTTTTAAACTTACCTCAACAGACTTGCGAGCCTCTTTTAAGAAATCATCTAAACCACCTAATAAGGAAGTTGAAGGCGGGGCAGGTAAATGATTGACATTCATCATATAATCTTCATCTTCCTCACTAGAACTATCATACATATTTATCACAACTGGTTTATGTTTTGGCAACTAAAAAGGAATGAAAACATCCATAAGCAGGTGAATAGAAGAAAACCTGTTGTTTTTTTCATACTTTTGCAGTCTGATATAAGTGCTCACTATCTATGATAAACCTGACAAATTTGGCCCTACCCCATTCTCGGACAGATGTGATATCATCAAATTCGGCAAAACTTTTGGAATCGATACAAAGCTGCACCATTAATGAATCCACTAGGACATTTTCGGACATTCTGCAATTCTCTGTGCCTCACCTTGTACCGCAATACAGTCCAGGTGTAGGCTTTGTACTACTCTGTAAGTTAAGCCTTTTGAGTCTGGCCTTAATCGTGATGTTATCACATCTGTATATCAAGTCTGAGGAAAAGGTAGGGCCAGATTTAAAGAGCTAAAAAAATTTCGTCAGATCATGTATGGAACAAGAAACAGCATGAAACGCACCATGAAGGTCATCATTATTATTGTGCAGAATGACAATTTTGTGAATAAATTTTGTCTCATATTTTCATTTTGTAACCAAAACTGTTCACCTCATAAGTACTTTTAATTAACCGCACTCATTGAACAGGAGTTGATAACTAATGAAACTTACCGATGATAAAGTAGAATAAGGATTATAAGTAACTTGTTGTATAGTAGTAGTAGTATATATTGTACTATATGTTGGACTGTAGGTAGGACTATCATTAAATACTGCGGTTCTCTGAATTTGGGAAGGCATTGGTGCTGGATCATATCTTACAACTGGAATCTCTTTATCGTAACTTGTTTCAGGAACGATTCTATCATAACTTGTAACAGGAAAGACTTCGCCATATTCTGCCATTGTTTTTGGGTCTGTCACCCCTTTATCGTAATTTGTAACTGAAGCAGCTTCCTGTACAGTAACAGACACATTCTTATTTTTCTGAAAATGGAACAGTTTCATTATCAAACAAATAAGTTTAATACTAACAAAATGAAGGATTATTTTTATAAAATTTTTGGTTTTGCATCTGTCAGTTTATCCCAGTTCAGTTATTCATTTCAGTGATAAAAATTATGGCTGTTTTTTTTTTTAATCTAAATGTCATTTTTTCTAGATTTTCAGAACATTTCAATGTACTTATATCATGGATCCCATGGATGGCGTGTGGGTTCCGATCTCCATCGGCGTGTGAAAGTCCGATGACCTTGAATAAGTCATCTTCACTCATAATTCAGGTCCACCCAGCTGTAAATGGGTACGGATAATCCGGGAAAGATCAATGTCAAGATGTTTGGCCAAGGACCAGCTAGTAGAAAGGATCCTTAACTGTGATGTTGTCACCTTGTAAAATATAGTTGTTCCTTTCTTTTTTTTTTTCATCATTGGCCTTAAAACAAGCTATCTTGTTGCTATAGCAACTGTCTCTAGAGAATACTACCTCTAAGGATGTCCAAAAATTCATGTTTTCAAACTTGGCCAAAATGAGTATATATTCATTAGTGGGCTTACCTGGTGTCATTTATATCTAAACAACAGAATTCGTGCAAAATAGGATGAATCCATAAAATTCCTTTAAGAAAATGCTTACCATTTCTTTTTCCTTCCTTTTCTCCATCAAAGACTTAAGAAGTTGTTCTCTCATTAATGCTGTTTCTTCATCATCATCTTCTAGAGGAGGAAGTGGTGGCCTGGGTTCTTCTTCAGGTTCTGGAGGTACATCTGGTGGTGGGGGAGGGGGGTCAATCATTAGAGGAACACCATCAATCAGAGATGTAGACTGAATCAAAGATGTGGTTTGTTGAAGCCCTGGATACACTGAGTTGGTGTTATATACAGGATCTTGTACCCAGGTAGCTCCATTGTTTTGCTGTTCTGAGTTAACACTTGAATAATAATCTTCTGGAAATTCTATACTCTGGAAATTGAAATGAAAAAATATTAACGATGAGAAATTAATTAACCTTTTTAAAATAATAATAATAATAATAATGACGATATTCATATTGCGCAGCAATTAAATCCTCGTGGAATTTCTCAAGGCCCACTCCAGTGATCTCCATTGGTGAGTTAATGATTAGGAACCAAACAACCAAGTTTTCACTTTACATTTAAATGCAGACACAGATTCACATTGTCGAATTGATTTCAGTAATTTATTCCAAATAACTGATGCACGTTCTGGAGCCAAATTTTTTCAGGTTGTAAGAAGAAAACTCAAGCAACATTTTGCCTTCAGATCTTAATGAACGTTTAGGCTTATATAATGACAGTAGATTTTGAAGATAGCATGGGGAAGTTTTGTTGACGGTCTTATACGTCAGCGATTAAATTTTGAAATTGATCCTTTCACAAACACGAAGCCAATGTAGATCATTTAAAACAGGAATAATGTGTGATTTATATTCTGTCATTCCTTTTGGCTAACAATTTGATGTTTTGTTTCGTATTTTTTCTGTGGTAGACCCCACTTGCTACAAACAATCTGACAGAATTGGCATTGTATCAAACATTTTCGGTTTTTTGGGGGGATTTTTATTTGTGAGAGTAGGCGCTTGCAGGATAAACAAAATACATCGAAGTATTGCAATAAATAAATAAATTTGTGTAAATAATTCATGAACAGCATAAAACTGATCATGACAAATCTTGCCATTAAAGGAACTGGCTGCATTGCACTCTGATAGTCAGCATCATGGAATTCTTCTATTAGATTAGCAGCACCTGAAATCATACATTAGACTAGCACTGAAAGGTGGCAGCATTTTTGGTCATAAATGAAAAAAAATTATCTTAATTATCAGAATTTCATATACCCTGATCATTTTTAAAACAAACAAACATGTCACTTTATCAAAGGTAAATCAAAAAATATGTCTGTATACAAATAAAACATTTTAGTACTTCACATTATTTTCAATTTTCAATTAATTTGATATATATAAGAAATGAGAAAAAGATCAAACACAGAAATTCAAGATAAAAAGATAAGATTTTTTCCAGCAATCTTACATCTGACAATTAGTATAAAACTAGGAACTGTAAAGAGTCAAAATGAAACATTATCAATATATAGCAACCGACAGTTTTGTGGAGTCATTTACAAAAAATCTCAAAATTGAGACGCACCAGTTGTAATGGGAGAATTAGGATTACTATCAATATCCATTTCTACTTCTTCATAATTATCTTGTAATGGTACATCATTCTTACGATTAGACTTCAAGTTCTTCTTCATTGGCAAACCATAATTCTGAAAATGAAATCAAAACTATTTCTTCAAAACATTTAGGTCTTCAAAATACCAATAAGTAATGAACAACAGTGACTTGCACCCTTAATTGCACGAAATATTTACCTTAAGACATTATGCCATGTTATTGATTATGACTGCAGGGGTTTGAAAAAGAATTCTTTCTGATGAAAGTGTGATTGAAAAATGAGTATTTTAGTGAAAACTGAATGTTTTGGTGAAAACTGAGTAAATATTCTAGTGAAAACTGAGTAAATATTCTAGTGAAAACTAAGTAAATATTCTAGTGACAACTGAATATATATTCTAGTGAAAACTGAATAAATATTCTAGTGAAAACTGAGTAAATATTCTAGTGAAAACTGAATAAATATTCTAGTGAAAACTGAGTAAATATTCTAGTGAAAACTGAGTAAATATTCTAGTGAAAACTGAATATATATTCTAGTGAAAACTGAATATATATTCTGGTGAAAACTGAATGTTTTGGTGAAAACTGAATGTTTTGATGAAAACTGAATGTTTTGGTGAAAACTGAATGTTTTGGTAAAAACTTAACCGTTTTGGTGAAAAACATTTTGAAAATCAGACCCTGTTAAACAAATGAGGTTCATGAAAAAGATTACTCCTTCCAACATATCTTTTAAACTAAAATTGACTTCTGAATATTTATAAAGATAGCTTGCCAGGCAAGGTAATATACGCCCACTGGAAGCTTTGTTTTTGACAAAAAAATATTTGGCAGTACAGTAACAATCGCCAGTATGCAATATTAAACCTTCACTTCTTTTGAACTTTTTGGGGTGATATTGAACAATATTACAGTTTTGTTGAAATCCGGCAAGATTTGTCTTTTAGTGTTTAAGATCTAAAAGTTACATTAAGCGTTTTCAAGCACAAGGTGCATAACTCCTATAAAACATTTTTTGATTTTCATTAGGGTTCATCCTTGTTTAATAATACAAAATTTCTTCAAATCTCGTCAAAATATGTCAAGAATTGTGCCATTTAGAGTGTTTACAAGCAAGAAATTAATCATATTTTCAAAAATAGGGCAATAACTCACTCACTCACACCAAGTTTTGTCAAATTCCATCAAGAATTGTGCCTTCTCGAGTGTTAACAAGCAATTGTAGACGGATGTGGGTGTATAAAAATAACAATAACTTACAATAGTTTCGTTGGTTAGAATATCAAAAGCATCAGGCTTTGATGAATCTCTTTTATGATTTAATAACTTCAAAAATCTTTGACATTGTTCATTCGGGTCATCTAGTGTTAAAATTTTTTGGATTTCTCGTTTCTGATTTTCCGATTCTTGTCGTTTTCTTTTTTCACTCTCCATATCAGATCTCTTTCTTTCTGAAAAATGTCGATGTCTTCTAGCGGAATTCACTGGTGTTCTCTGCGTAACAAAATTTTCTCTATCTAAAACACAATTTAAAAGAAACTATTTAGATCTCACTTACCTAAGATTAGATACATATATCCCGCTTTTTTTTTTTACAGACTACCAAAATCTGTGCAAGCTGTGCTTATTTTAAAGAACACATATTATGAAAATTCAGAGGGAAAAAACACAAATGAAATTCTTAGAAAATTTCTGAGCTTTAAAAGATATTAAGCCTACCCTCTAGAGATCTCCTTTTTTTCTCAACAGACGCCATTCGCTTGAAAGTGTTATTTTTCAAGACTTTTGGTGATGGTTTCTTCTTGCTCTGACCACTAACTTGACGCTGGCGTTGGGCACCAAGATCAGATGGAGTTGTTTGCAGTTTATTGGTAGATGTCAATGTCTTAGATGTTGCAGCTAAAGCCAATCTTCTCAATTCAGCTAAATTAACGTCATCATCATCATCATCATCATCCTTAATATAACGAAAATCAATCAAATCAATCAAATCAAAATTACCAAAAAGAAAATGAAATGAGATTAAAGGTCCGAAGTTTATTTTCCCATCAAACACTTTTTTCACGTCAGCTCTTCCAACCTGTATAACTGACTGCAAGAGACTAGTTGAAGAATTTCAAATACCTTGCCCGTTGTCATCAGGAATAAGCATAATTAAAGATGAGTTCCCTTATTTTCATTTATGAAAATGAAAATGCTAATACTTATATGAATAGAAAGTAGAGGTGTTTTAATGACTTGGAAAAATACCAGTTTGTCTCACATGTCCATAATCAATTCATAATTAGCTAAATTAGAAGAGAATCATCAGCAGAATTCAATAAGTAACCGATCAAGAAAGGTCAAAAAGTCTTTTTTTTGTTTATCCATACTGCACATACATGGACATTTATGATTTATAATCATATGCAATAAGAACATAATGATAATAGAAACACCAATTTATCAAAAATAAGGTAACATATCTTTAATTAACATAGATGCATGATTAGAATTACAAGTACTCACCTTTTTTGTCAGAGCTTTTGGTGCAATGTTCTGATTATTTTCTGAATTTGGCCTTTCAACTTTAACTATTTCTACATCTGTAGCATCATCTTCCACTTTAGTAACAAGTGGCTCATCTTCTTCTTCTTCTTCAAGCAAAGCAATTTGTTCCTGAATCTTTTTATGTTGCATTAACAAATCTTCAAAGTTTTCTTCGCTGGGTTTCTTCATTTTTGCAGCATTTGAAGAAAATTTGCCTTTCATCCATCCAACTGAGTGATTTAAGGAATAAAAAGCAGGTAGGCTACTCAATCACTTAATTAGACTAATCTAATACCATGGAAAGTTAAATTCTATAAGCTTATTCTAGATACAAAAAAGTATTCGATCTTAGCATTTAGATGTGAAGGTTTTCAAATTTCCTTTTTTTTCACTTTTTGGAATAGACCACGCACTCAGTGATAGGCTGAACAAATAATTTATATACATCTTCAATTTTTTGTTGTTGATAAATTCAATAAGAATGCTTATTTACTAGAAGCTTACGCACTAAATCAAATACAAAACAATTGAAAGAGTAATCTCAAAGTAATCATGACTAGGGTAACAATTACAAGACTATAACTTGAAACTGAAAAAATTTGATAAGCTTATAGATTATATTTAAACATCTGAAAAGGCCTACTTGAAAATTATTTTTTGATATTACAATTACAGATTACGATTACCCCTGGCCTGAAAAAGGACCTAGTTAGATTGTAAATGAAAATAAAACAAATTTCAAAACAATACTAAATATCAAAATATCAATTCATGAACTGAAAACAGAAATATTAAACCAAACGTGTTTTAAGTTTGGAACAAATGGGTCATGTTAACTGTGATCATTAAAATATGTTTGCATTTCTACTTTGACAAAGGATACATCTTGAACTTGGTGTTTGCTGTGGACCCATTTGATAGAAGTTCCTGTTCGGTTGCCAGGTGGTATTGCTATTTTGTCGAAATTGTGAGAGGTTGTTTCTTGGACTGATGTTAGGTCTACTAAAAGATTTTTGATTGGCATTTTGGCGATGAAGGTTCTGTCCAGGTTTAAATTTCTTGTTACGTGGACCTCTATTTCTGTTATGGTAAGGCCCTCTATTGATCTCTTTATGCATATTATTTACATTTCCAATAGTTTCTTGGACAGCCTGTTCCTGTTGCCGTTGGATGTTCCCTGTTATGTTTCTGGCACTGTCATCGTGGAGTGTTTGACTGAAAAATAAAACTTCATCAAAAGAAATATCGTCATCAGAAAGTTCGCCATCTTCTTTGGCTTCTTGGACAGTATTTGTACTCATTTCTCCATCTGTTCGTGAACTTTCAATTAATTTTTCAACTAAACACGAAACTTCGTCATAGTTTTACATTTATTTCTTGACAATGCCACTAATAATAGCATGAGTTATTTCCCCCTTAATAAAACAACGCCGTCTTTAGTTTTCATGAAAAGATAATACCACTACAGACCACAACTGTGTAAATCCTTGAAAAATAGACATTGGCTTTCATACAAGCAAGTATTGTATGTTAGGTAAATTTTGTTCAGAATTTTTTTTTTCATTTGGGCACAATGTCTTTTTCTGTAATGAGGAGAGCTTCATCATCTAGTTTTATATAAAAGTTAAAAGGGAACATTTCTAGACAGTTTCATTATCATCTAGTTTAATAAGGGGGAACGTTTGACAGCCTACCATCAGCTTTTTATAAGGGGAAATTGACTCATTTCTGGACAGTTTCATCATTAGCCAATTTGATAAGGAGAAATAGCTGGCTGGACAACTTCAACCATTAGCTAGTCTAATAAGAGAAATTAACTGGACTGTTTCACCACCAGCTATATTCTCTAAAAGGAAAAATTCGCTTGTTATGTAAGGGGAAAATACTGGATTGTTTCACCATCGGCTAGTTTTATAGGGAGATATTACTGGCTTGTTTTACCATCGGCTAGTTTTATAGGGAGAAACTACTGGCTTGTTTTACCATTGGCTAGTTTTATAAGGGAAATTACTGGCTTGTTTTACCATGGCTAGTTTTATAAGGGAAATTACTGGCTTGATTTACCATCGGCTAGTTTTAAAAGGGGAAATTACTGGCTTGATTTACCATTGGCTAGCTTTATATGGGGAAATTACTGGGTTGTTTCACCATCAGCTAGTTCTATAAGGGAAAATACTGGACTATTTCACCATCAATTTGTTCTAAAAATTGCTGGACATCCAATCGGAACAAGTAGGCTATGCATTGATTGCAAATTTGCCAAGGTGGCTTAGATATTCTACCTTGTTTATTCCATCTGAATGATAAATATACCAATTTAAAAAATCAGTTTGCCTGATTTCAACAAAGTATAACATGAAGGGGTCAATCAGGAACAGACTAGAAAATCAGTTTCAATTGAATTACCTGCAGACAGTTTCAGGAGATCAAAACTAGTTTACAATTGTAGATGCTTTAATAATATTCTACTTTCAATACCGGTGTAGTGATGTAATTCTTAACAAATTTGAATCTTTCATAATTAGTAACAAAATATACATAGTTGTCCATATTGTAGGGTTATTATTTAGATAGCTAACTCTATTAGTGAGTAGATATATATCGTTGTTTACATAGCCAAGTAATTACTACAAGAAAAAGGCACACAAAGTGATAGTGAGGAATATTGAAATTTTTTAAGAAGATTTGCTAAAAATAGGATTTCTGAAGAAAGGAAGATTTACTGAAAATAGATAATAGATAGGAAGATTGAATAGATTTACTGATGATTGCAAAAATGACAGTTATATAAGGATTTTTCCTGAAAATAGATTTAATGATTTTAGAAAATTGTAAGATTTACTGAAAACAGATTTACTGATTTTAGAAAATAAGTAAAATTTACTGAAAACAGATTTAATGATTTTAGAAAATTGTAAGATTTACTGAAAATAGATTTACTGATTTTAGAAAATAAGTAAAATTTACTGAAAATAGATTTACTGATTTTAGAAAATAAGTAAAATTTACTGAAAATAGATTTACTGAAAATAGATTTACTGAAAATAGATTTATTGAAAGTAGATTTACTGATTTTAGAAAATATGAAGAGGTACTGGTAGTGACAATAAGAAGATTTACTAAGAATAAATTTACTGAGGTAAGAAATATAGGAAGATTTACTGATAATGACAATAAGAAGATTTACTTAAAATAGATTTATTGAGGTAAGAATATAGGAAGATTTGTAGGTCAAAAAAAAATCTTTGCTCAAATTTGCAATAAAACTAAATACATTGTTTACACAGACTATTCCTGGTCCAATCCAGCGGTTAAGTTTTAAACGCCAAATTTTACGTAAGGTTATGCATTTTAGAAGCTGTACTGGTTTAAATAAAATAAACGCTTAATTGTAGAGAAATATGTCTCCTATGTATTCTAAAAGTTTCAACAAATAAAATTGAGCCATTATAAAGCCAACCACCAATACTGCTTAATTAACAATTAGTACTCTCAGTTTTTAATTAACCCTCTTAAAACAAATAAAATTGAGCCATTATAAAGCCAACCACCAATACTGCTTAATTAACAATTAGTACTCTCAGTTTTTAATTAACCCTATTAAAACAAATAAAATTGAACCATTATAAAGCCAACCACCAATACTGCTTAATTAACAATTAGTACTCTCAGTTTTTAATTAACCCTATTAAAACAAATAAAATTGAGCCATTATAAAGCCAACCACCAATACTGCTTAATTAACAATTAGTACTCTCAGTTTTTAACTTACAATTTTAAAACAAATTCAGTTTGATCAAGAAGATACAATGCACGTTGTTTTTGATAAGGAAAACTTTTTTACAAAAAAGCGGAACACTCCTTTAATTTCAAATATTCAAAAATATAAAATAAGTTAAAATAGAACTCAAATGAAAAATCCAATTCGTTAGAGCTAATAGTGCAGTAGATAGAAAGAGATACCCTCATCATATAATATAAATGCATTCTAAGTATCACAATGTGCTGAGGCAATTGACTTCAACGGACATGAAATTTTATTTAATACTAATATATATAAATAAACCAAGTACTAACGATCCAAACCGCAATAAAAAACAAGACAACCAAAACAACATATTGGCGAAAACATTGGTAGCAGGTGAGAAAAAATAAAATCTAAATATCACATGATGTGTTAAAAATACATATTCAAACAGTAACAAAAGTAAAATTAAAGAACTAGAAACTTATCTTCAGAAAGAAATGGATAATTTTTTCCATTACTATATATTTATCCAAATTACTAGCTTTCCCTTTTAAAATTGCATTTGGAAGATGTAAAATCCTAAATGGACCTAATGGATTAATTGTATAGTAAAATACCAGTCTACCATAATAAAGTTGAGATACTCAGAGCTCAGATTTATTTTTTACTTTTTTTTCTCATGTAAGTCTCTAATTTGGTAGCTCCATTTTAACTACAATACCACATAATCAGTAAACTGAGGTTTAAAAGTTTTAAAATTTATATATGTTTAATTGATGTTTTTAATAAAAACATTACATCAACTGTTCATCTTCAGCATATAAATGAGCATTTACTATGCCCTGAAAAAGGTGATCATGTATTAACTAGAATTATTCTTGAAATTTTGAATTTAGAAAAATACTAGCTTAGCAGAGCTCTGAATAATAAATATATAAATCATGATTGAGTAATATACCACTTTATCAGACATAGAAAACCCATCTTGATAAACTGTAGAAGGATCTTTGAAGAATAGAACATAAATTGAAATGAAAGTGAAATATTTTTTTAACTGATCTCCCTATTTTCTTTGATGTCTTCAAACTGTAACAAGATTATTACTTTGAGCTAATCTCTCTTCTCTTATATGAGCTGGGGTTAAAGGTCGAATTCCATATGGCGGTTTTTCAGTAAACATTTTTTTCTTCTGTAAAGCCAGTTCTATTTCAGCTGCTTTTTCATCTGCAGGAATTTTAAACCAAGCATCATAATCCAGTTTAGAAGAATTCTTCTCACTTCTCATTCGCAACCTGAAAAAATGTGCAATACATTTTATATTAGCTTTCATTTTCAACATAGCGACTTCAGTTACGGTCTAACGACTGGCCTCTTAAACATAAGTCAAATTAATCTTTTGACCTAACTCTGCTTTAACCAATCAAATTCCTTCACTCTCATAAAATGCCAGCTCTGGGAAGGGCAGAAATTTGATTGATTAAAGCAGAATTAGGACTGGGACATGTGAGAAAAGCTTATATTTTTCAAAGTCATTAGAACCCCTCTACTTTCTATTCATACAAGTAAGCGAACCCATCTAATCATAATATAAACCAAACTAGCAGAATGACCATCAACTCTGTGCATTCATGTTGTAGTGTGATGATGAGACTCCATCCACAATAATTAATAAAAAAAAAAACTTTATATTTGTTATCATCTTAAAAGATCATTTTATAAATGCATTTATCAAACTAAGCTATCTCAAATGACCACTGTAACTAAATCAAGTTTTAACTGAATTATGAAAATAAAACTTGAAGAAAAAAAAAATGCAAGAAAATAACTAATTCTAAAAAAAAAAAAAAAAACAGATTAAAAATATTGCTTCCAAAGGCAAATCGACAAAAAAAGATTCCGAATTTTTTAATTTAATTTTAATGTAAAATGTCTAACAGGAAAAAAAGTTATAATATTAATTCTCTAACTGATTCATCTATATAAACTTACCACTTGGCCTTCTTTTTTAATGGTCTCCTAATAAATGTGCAAGAAACAGTGCAAGTGAAACAAAACTAGCAAAAGTCAAGACATCATTTTGGAATATTTTGTGTACATAAATAGAAAGTGCATTTATTTGGAAAATTAACTGAAATCCCTGAAGATTTTTATTATGCCACAAATTATAAATAATATATATGGTGCATATAGCGATATACAGATAGTGAGTACAGAAATCTTTAGGCTTTTAATACTTACTGGCTAGATTTTCTAGGTTGACTTTCAATATCTCTTAATGGCATTTCTAACCAAGTATGACTATTGGTACCATGACGACCAAGAGGTGCCATGGGTAATGCTGGAAGCTGAACTTGTTTGATATCATTATCAGTATATCGGACACCAGTTGTACATCTTAATATAGTTCGTTCTTCTTCTGTTCTAGAACGACTTTGTGAAGTAAGGGGATCTCGTAATGGTTTTGTTTCAATCTACAGAATAAATATTCTTCATTTAGAATTCCTTGAAGTTTTATTTGAGTGTCATGAAAAAATATAGTGATACAAAGTGGCAGTGTGAACACACTCTTACTGTAATCTTTACTTATATTGAGTGTAATCTTTTGCATTGAAAAAACCAAAACCAAGTAAGCTTATAAAGCACAAAATCAAATTTGAATAGAAGAGATCAAAATAAAAGATCTGAGTCGCCATGAAATAGTTCCTATGTAAAAACGTACGGAAATGTAAAATGACTTGACTTACCATTAATGGTGCTGGTCTATGTCCATTTAAAGCTTGTGCATAATAAATCTTAGAGTCTATTGTATCTAAAAACACATGACCCTGGATAAAAAAAAAAGTAAACAAATCACTAAAAAATACCAAAGTCCATGGTTAGCCATTTTTGGGGTTGACTTAAGCCTTGAATAAACATGTAAATAGTCTTTGGAACACTCTTCCAATAGCCTTACCCTTTTGGATTTCCATATGTCTTTGCCAAATCTTTTTCATACATTAGCCTACTGACTATGAGAATTCAGATTGATATCTAAAGCTATAAATGGAAATTGAAATGGAAAAAATAATATTTCATACCTTTTTATTTACAAATTCCAGATATTGTTTGTGCATTTCTCTCTTCCTTCTATCAGCATCCATAAAATCATGGCCTTCCATAACTTGAACAATTTTATGTCGTAATGGTTCATAGACTCTTTCTGTCCACTGTTTATGTAACATTTCTTTTTTTCTTAAATCTAACATCTTTTTATGACTGATAAAATCATCGACATCCTACATGAAATGAAGAAAATGAAGGAAATTGTGTTGAAGGTTGTAATTTCCTGCTCCAGGTTGTAATGAAAATATGCAGCACCATTCAGTGTGCAGATTTCAAAGAATCTTCAGCGTGCACTAAGCAATACAATTTTTTTTTTCCAAGTAAGTGCCTACAGGAGGTATCATTTCAATGCTACACCAGGATAAAAAGAGACTATTGTATTGAGCAACTTTCTCAATGCCCAACCCAGTTCTTGTATTGTATTTTACCCAACTAGGAAGCAGATTGTGACAATGATCCAAATTATAGTGGACTAATATGCCACAAATTTTACCTGCATGTATATCATATTCAAAAATTTCTGAGGTTTTTCTTTGGAACAATGGCATTTTCTACCGTTAGAAAAACATCCATTGAAAAAACAGAAAACATTTTTCACTCATACATTACTTTAGAAACTTTTTTTTTGTATTTAAACAAACATTACCTTGACAAAAGTCTCTTCTGTATCTAACAAAGGTGTATAGAGTTTTCTTACTGATCTAGATTCTACATCAGCTTTTTCCTGAAATATAAACATGCATAAGCTGAGGTTTAAAAAAATTAGTAGCATAGTAGACAGAATTTATGACTTTCTAGTTAATAAAAAAAGAAACATGCCATGCCATTAGTGCCTAGGTACGATGGGGAAACTCGTCACAATGTTTCAAAACACCGTTGGACCAATTAGGACTGTCTGAATTGCAAATACATGTAGAACAAATCATAAATGAGCTTACACTTTCTTTTTCAATCTCTGAAGGCCAACTATTACTCTACCCACCCCTAACTTGTGAAGATTTGTCTGTATCTGTATTGTGAACCATTGAGTAATCGTCCAAAATTGTGAACTTCAAGGTTATTCATAAATCATATGGGCTTATAAAGCAAAAATGCTAAAAAAAAAAACCCTAATAAAATGCAATGTAAAGTACTGGTACGCCTTGATCTAACTCACCTGCAGATCTTTGACTGTTTTCTCATTTAACCAATCTTGTATTTTTAATGTGTGATTTAGAAGGTTATTGGAATCAACACCACTCTGTGAACGACTTCTAACAGATGATGACCTTCTGGAACCACCTGCTGATTTAGTTTTGGAAGCTTGTCTTTCTAACATGGCTGAATACTAGAAAATAAGAAAAAAATAACATTAAATTACAACATCACCCTCAAAATAGTATTGTAGATCTTAAAATGTCATTGCTTTGTTTGATAAGAATATAAGCATTGTGATTGGTCAATTTGTCTAATGTATGTCAACTCATCAATTCGTCACAAAAAGTCAAAAGTGAGTTAACTCGTCTGCTACTTTGAGTTAACTCATGAACAAAAAATATTGAAATAAAGATGATAAAATATTGAAATAAAGATGATAAAATATTGAAATAAAGATGATAAAATATTGAAATAAAGATGATAAAATATTGAAATAAAGATGATAAAATATTGAAATAAAGATGATAAAATATTGAATAAAGATGTATATATATAAAGAATGTAATTTATACAATTTATTATATTATTATATTAAATTTATTTATGATTATCATAGTATTTCATATCTTCTTATTCTATCATCTATATGATGATCAATCTATTCTATGTCTAAGCTTATATAGGCCTACTGTCTTTATTTCATTTGGGATATCTATGTTGATAAAATTTCTGGGAGCCATGGTGGGGAAAAGTTTCTATTCCATCTTGATTTGCATGAAAAGTAAACATTCATCAATGCAAAGTCATTCTAATTCTAACAGCAGTGTTATTCAAAATCCCTTTTAAAAATCGATTTTTCCAACAATAAACAAACCAGTAATTGATGTCGATTATCAGTTGACTCCTTGATGTCATTAGCTAAATTTTCATCGTGAACTTTAACACTTCCACCAGGGTGCCTGACACACAATAGAGATGTCATCTTCACGAATTATTTGAACGAAACACTCGGGAACCTGCGATATTCCAAAAACTGCTTTCATTTGGACGCCATGTTGTATATAAAATGACGTCACATAGTAACAGTTTTAATCGGTTGTTTTCTATATCTTGTCAGATTTACGATAAGTGAAAGTATTTCTCGGCTCGTTTCATTATTCTAATGGATTTTAAAAGCTATCATACTGATAATAAATCACAGATAAATAGGGAACAAAAGAGAAAATATAATATATCCCTAGCAACGGCTTTAAGGAAAGATAACTCTGGTAAACAATGTAGACTTGAATATCCAGCCTATTATCATACTGTCAACAAACACAGATGAGATATTTTTTTTTTTTTGTAAATTTATGGTAATAAAAGGTAGGCCCTTAGAATTACAGAACTTATTATGATACATGAAAAAATTTATTGAATAAATGGCTTAACTTCTTGCTTGAAAGGACATTAAAAAAAAAGGAAATCTGGAACATGATGAGGAAATATGAAATGAAGTATGATTAACTTAATAATTAGGGCCTTCCTTCAGGGTATTATGAGGGAAATTTAGCCTGGACAGTGGACAGTGGCATTAGCCTGCTCTTTTTCGATTTCCACGCGCGGCTCCCTCTGTTTATTGATGAAAACAATGTTGTGAACTACATGCGTGAAATTTTGGTAACTGTAAACTTAAAGATGAAAAATGCGTAAGAATGATCGTAAGTTTAATGAAACGTCCCCTGGTCCAGTCAAAATTTTAGCCTAAGTCCTGATTAACCTAACAGTGAATATTAGTATACATACTGATTTTCCTGTTTTTTTTACTTTAAATATATATAGCTTTTTACCAACTATTCAATATACAGTTTGGCTTATATTTTGCTAAAATTCATACATATCCAACAGCAACCAAAAAACATTGACAGTAAGAGTACAGTAAAATGTTCTAAAAGGTGACAGCAAAATGTTCTAAAAAGTGAAGTGACAGTAAATGCTCTTAAAAATTACATTGAAATGTTCTAAAATTAACATTTCTCTAGATTTTGATGTATAAGCTTTAGCTAAGTTTTTATTAATTTTAGCTAAAAAAAAATCAGACTACCACTTGAAGGTGGTTGTGAGTGTATAAAATGTTTACAAGTCATTTATACTCTTCTAAAGAGAACCATCAACAAGACAGGGTGGGCAAAAAATCACAACGATTCTCATAGTTACAAAGAACTATGGATTCCACCGTTGACTTCTATGGTTGCCAAAAGCTTCAACAGAAAGTTATTTAGTCCATTCTTTAAGTTCTTCAAGGCATATTTTCAGAATGATTTAGTAAACCACTTACTTTTGTGGTATGTCCTAGGTAGACATGTTTCTTGATGTAAGTTTCTGATAATCCACACAAGTCATGTATATTGACAAATAAATCCAGGCCAATATAACCTATATAAGCTTATTGGTTATCTCATTTGCAATAAGTAAACAAAACTCAAGTCCTCAATTTCACCTGATAAACTGTTAAGATATTTGCTTGGTTTCTTATGACTTTGGCATATTGCCTGAACACGATAATCCTGTTTATTAATGAGACAGGTTCTATAGTTCATTGTTATGTGTTTTAATAACCTTTCCAAATAATCTGATTTTATTATTATTGTTTTCTTTGCTTCACTATATAAGTATTGTCAATAGTGAGGGATTATTTGTGTACTTTATAAGGATAATTGAGTTTTCACTTGGAGAAGACTAACAAAAATTGAGAAATGTCAGATCTAAGCTTATTAAAAAATGCCAAGTTTCAAGTTCAAGGTGTTCCGGTAAGATTATATGATTGTACAGTTTTGCCAAAAAAGTTTGTGTCGGGGATAAATACCACCTCCCGATTCTGCCTCCTCTTTTGTTATTTCTTATATTTTTCATATTGCACTGGCTATTTGCAGGTCATGGTGCTTGTCTTCTTTGGCTGCTATAAACGGTTCAGAAAAGATAAGACTAGTTTTTGGGGTTTTTTAAAGCGTGAAGCCATTTGAATTGTCAAGAATGATATTAAGTGACTATGTTAGGGTTAGGAAGGGATGGCCATATGTTTTTTAATGCCCATTTTTGTACTGTTAGGTTCGAATAGCCCCAGCCTTTTCATATAAGCTTACATGCCGAAGTTAACTTGAATCTTGTTGAGCTGGCGTATTTTATCATTATTGTGTTTAGCCCAACAGAAATATGAACATTATTAAATATTTGAATTGTTGTATGTAGTGTAAGTTTACACTAATACTTTTCTATTTCTCATATCCTGGTAGTCATACAAACTAAGTAACTTTTCACACCATCAAAATGTTCTGATATGTATGCGAATGAGAGGAAAAGGGTGGAAGACACAAAATGGAGGAATGAAATAATCATCATTTTGGATACCGGTTAATCTTGTATTTTGAAATTTGAATGTGCCCCCCTCCTCCCTGTACCACTGTATCTCCTGAGAAATGACTATAGATAAGTCTATTGAGTGTTATTGATATTTTCTCATATCATGATTGCTGATATTATGATGTCATTAGTGAAGTCTACATGATATAATGAAGCTGTTTGGTTAAAGCCTTTAAATAAATCTTACATATAAACAACTGTTGCTGGAATCTTTTGAACAGGATGAATTTTGCTGAACTATAAAACATACTCAGCTCTAAAACATTTGATTTTGTTTCAGGATTCGGTGAAAATGAATCAACTACAGAATTTATTACATGATGCTTTGATATCAACTGATAATGTACAACAATGTGCTATTATTAGAAGAAAAGATTTATCTATTAGAGCTAGTTCTGTTGGTTTTCATGTAAGTGCTATGTAAATATCATAAAATACTGGTACTTTGAAATATTGATGACTGTTTTTAATGTGTGTGCTGTCACGTAACAAAGACAAATAGATATAAGCTTATATCAGGTTTTTAGAGAAATGATGGTGTCCTGGCAAAGTTCCCCTTATTGCGCATTGTATTGAATTGTCCAGATTTTTTAGCCCAAAATGGTGCAGAAAATTTGTATGTCAAAAATGGTAGTAACAGTATTTGTATATAAGCTTATTGATAGGCTCATATAATTATTAGAAAATATTCAGCCTAAATTCAGATAGAATTTTTGGAAAGAAAAAGTGTGTTTATTTCCTTACACAAGTTTATAAATCTAAAATAAGCACAAAGTCATTCTGACACTATCATTAATATTTTAAATCTGATAATTGTAATCACAAATAATTACTAAAAGTTAGATTTATTTATCAGCAAAGGTGAAAGTGCTGAAATATAAGCTAATGAATGCTTTCACTGAAAATATATGAATGAATGCTTTCACTGAAAAGATATGAATGCTTTCACTGAAAATATAAGCTAATGAATGCTTTCACTGAAAATATATGAATGAATGCTTTCACTGAAAATATATGAATGAATGCTTTCACTGAAAATGTATGAATGCTTTCACTGAAAATATAAGCTAATGAATGCTTTCACTGAAAATACAAGCTAATGAATGCTTTCACTGAAAATATAAGCTAATGAATGCTTTCACTGAAAATGTATGAATGAATGCTTTCACTGAAAATACGTATGAATGCTTTCACTGAAAATATAAGCTAATGAATGCTTTCACTGAAAATACAAGCTAATGAATGCTTTCACTGAAAATATAAGCTAATGAATGCTTTCACTGAAAATGTATGAATGAATGCTTTCACTGAAAATGATATGAATGCTTTCACTGAAAATATAAGCTAATGAATGCTTTCACTGAAAATATATGAATGAATGCTTTCACTGAAAATATATGAATGAATGCTTTCACTGAAAATGTATGAATGCTTTCACTGAAAATATAAGCTAATGAATGCTTTCACTGAAAATACAAGCTAATGAATGCTTTCACTGAAAATATAAGCTAATGAATGCTTTCACTGAAAATGTATGAATGCTTTCACTGAAAATATATGACTGCTTTCACTAAAAATATATGCTTTGACTGAAGATTTGTAATTGTAGTTATATCCAGATCAAGTACAACTATTATTAGATTCATTTAGAAATCCACCACAAACTAGAGAAGAGGGAATATATTTTGATGATAGACAATACAAATGTGTGAGAGCAGATAAAAATTCAATTTATGGAAAATGTGTAAGTAGACGTAGACCAGATCAGCAAGACTAAATTTTATTTATACTGATCTGATACACTTTTGGGATGTATGTCTGTTTATATGTTGATTGTATTTTCCAAAATTAGAGTACAGTTAAAGAGCTTTTAGTTATCTGTATCATTTTTCAGAATTTAAAGTTGAACTTTGGTTCCTTTAATGAAGACAGACATACCTTAGGCCAGACCAATTTTTTTTTCTTCGTTTTATGGATCATCCAAACTCGATTTTCCAGAAATCAGAAAGAAAACAAAGTCAGCTTCACTGGATAAAAAAACTTTCTTCATACCTGATAAGAAAAAAAAACATCATTAAAAACATTTATTATTTTTTTTATTATTCTTCTGCCCTTCACACAAACTTTGGTCTTTTTTTTATTTTTCCACCTGCCTGTATTATTTTTGCCTGAAAAATCTGTAAAACAAGAAAATAAATTGGTTTGGCCTTACATACTTGAAGGAGTATTTTACTGCCATAACTAGCTCTTAAATATTCTCACAATCATGCAGATATGAATAATGAAGTCATGATTTTGAGAAAGTTACGTAATTTCCAATTCTGAAAAATGATACAAATGATACTACAACAATTAATTAATTGCAATTAATTTATATGCATGTAAATTGAATTGGTCAATTGCCTAACCCACGAATCCACACAAACTGAGCACTAGTAATAATTTGGCTTACCCAGAATCCACACAAAATGTACACTAGTAACAATTTGAAATTAGTAAAACAGATAAAACCTGAAAAGTTTATTTTTTTCAGGATGACCGAGGTTTAATATTAGTGAGAACTGTAACATTATTAATTGTTGCTACCTATACAGAGAGTATGTATCCTAGTGTCTGTGTTGAAGCTGTAGAAAAATTAGGTAAGAAATGATCAAAATAAATGTAACTGAGGTGTTTTACCCATTGCTGGCACGATATATATCACTAAATCCATACATCACTATACAACATATCATATATACTAGTATCATATCGAGTGATTGTGTATCGATACTTCACAATACCAGGTATACTAGACAAAAATGTATATAATTATAGATATAACAAAATGTCATCCAAATGCTTGAAAAGTTCACAAGTAGGCCCTATACATTGTGAAAGTCTCACAAATAATTTCAATTAAGTGATTTAACAAATGGTTGCCTAGCAAGATACGCCCACTTTCCTGATACATTTTCAGTATAAGAAGGTCAGTCACCAATCTGTGTCAATCATACCAAAAATCTAATTAGTACACACAAAATTTAATAAAATTCTGACATAAACTGTCGCCTCTATCGCGTTGCCAAGCCAACAGGTAGGTAGGTAGATGATAGGTTAATGTTTGCTTCCAGCGGATGCTGATATCGCAAACTAGGTAGTTGTTGGTAGTCATAGTAGTTGGTAGTTGGATCGGTTCAAATTTGATGATTCTGTGTTGTTGATTCTTCGAAAGATCAGGTTGGGTCTAATGACATGGCAGTGAAACTCAGCCCTAGATGGTGTGGTGTGAGTTACTCGATCTCCTTCATTCTTCCAAACTAGTTCTGATCATGGTATTTCTTGTTGATTGGTTTGGTATGGTATGGTTAGATTATCTAATAACTGTTGAAAAGCCAACAAATTTTGATGCATTTTTGTATCAGAAATAGGAGTTATCTACCTTGATACCTTCACTGGTCTCAATGTAAGAAAATTGCGTAAATTGTACCATGTCAACAGCATTAACTGCACTATTTCTGCAACATAAAAGTAAAGCTCTATTTAATAGGACCTAAATATATCAAAACCCTCGACTTAATCCAAGCTTTGTATTTATTTTTCAGCTGATTACTTCAAAGAGAAAGGAAAATGATGAAACCATGACAGTTTAATGCAACACAAACTGTGATATTTGTTAATGTATTATTTTTTTAATTTCCTGTTACTAATCATTCTATGCATTTGTATATATTGAAAAACATTATTTTGTACAAAAAATAATTATTCTTCTGTTGAGTGGAGAGGTATTGAGTATTTTGTCCATTGCTCTATAACTAGAGAAGTGCAGTAACTATTTCGTTGTAGAACATCTCAAAACTAGGGGAGTAACTTTTGAATACTTTCAATATTGTTGTAGTTTCAATAATCAAAGCTTAGAAATAGAGTGGTCCAAAAGTTGGGAATTTGAACCCCCCAATTCCAAGCCAGCTAAATTAAAATAAAAAGATAGCCTTGTGAAGCACAAATCATTGTCTGTTGTCCATTCACATTCGGTTTGTGTTTAGTCTATAGAGAATTTTCAGCAAATTTTATTGTATCGCATCATGGCCGGTTTTTAACGCATGTCTTGATTCTTGCAAATAAGACAGTAGATTGTATAAAAATGAATACATGTATCTGAAAGATGAAGAATTGTGAATATTGAACACACTGCAAAACATTAAATCAATTATTTACCCAAATATCGATCTTATGACGAAATTCAAAATATTTAAGATAGCTTGCCAGGCAAGGTAACATACGCCCACTGGCAGCTGTCAGAAATGATTAAACAGTCTTTAGTGACTACAGGGTTGCACAATATAGCTAATAGAGTGAAACGTCAAGTCAGACACCATATTTCGGTGAAATATTATCCGATCATCACGTAAATCGATAGGGATCATCTTCATAATGACATTGACATACAAAATAAAAATCAAAAGAATCTGTAAACAATTGTAGCCTGTAGAGTGAGCACGAGTTGCACAATATAGCTAATAGAGAAAAACGTCAAGTCAGACACGATATTTCGGTGAAAAATTATCCGATCATCACGAAAATCAATAGGGATCATCTTCATAATGACATTGACATACAAAATAAAAATCAAAAGAATCCATAAAGAACTGTAGCCTGTAGAGTGAGCACGAGCCAAATGTGAACGGACGGATGGACCGACAGGGTGATTACAATATACGCCCATCTTACGTGTGGGCGTATAACAAAAATCAGAAGAATACATCAAGAAATGTAGTCTGTAGTGTTCTCAGGCCAAATGTGAATGGACAGACTGACAGACAGACTGACAGACAGGGTGAAAACAATTTAAGTCCATATTACATGTGGGCATATAAAAATCAAAAGAACCTGTAAAGAATTGTTGCTTGAAGTGCAAGCACAAATTGCACAATATAGCTAAAAGAGTGAAAACGCTAAGTTGGACATGATATTTCAGGGAAAAATTATCGGATCATCTTCATAATGACATTGACACACAAAATAAAAATCAAAAGAATCTGTAAAGAATTGTCGCCTGTAGAGCGAGCACGAACCAAATGTGAACTGATGGACGGACAGACAGGGTGATTACAATATACGCCCAAAATATTTGTGGTTGTATAAAGACAAAAAGCTAATTTTAATTTTCAACTGTTGAGGAATCTCTTATCTCTATCCTCTCATCACTGACAAGGAAAAAATGGGATGAAAAACCCGAGGGTATTACTTCAACCTCTGACAAGATTGAATCTTGGACCTTCAAAATAGAGAGAATCACTTTGACTTCCTGCATTGAAATGAGACCATAAAATTGCAATTAGAAAGTTTTAACAGAGTTTATTCAATGGTTACATGAAGATACATGTATAGTTATAAAGAAACAATAACAGGCAATAACTAGTTTCTAATCAAGTTATTATGAAGCAAAATGTTGAAGCAAAGAATTTACATTACACCAACTTAGATCACTTTAAATTCAATGGTTTTGTGTCAAGCTTGATACAATCCAAGCAAATATAAAAGCTACTCGTATGTGGCTTGTCTAAAGCACAGCCAAGGGATTGGCTACTGAAATTTACTTGTATTCTATTTGTAGTTACCCACTGAGCCATCAAAAAAGTGAACGCATGACATTCAAAACATAGCAGCTTGAATTGAAAAGATATTGGTGCAGTTTTAACAGCCATCTTGGTTGCGCTATATTAAGGCACTCTCATATTCATTATCCAACAACCCAACCTTAACCAAAAGTGAAACATAGCCATCGGGTTTAGGAAGCTATTGTTGCCATTTTCTTACAGTTTAGCAATGATATTTCATATAGAATTCTCTGAATGCATTTGTTAAGAAAATCTTTATATATTTATGTGGCCTAGCCATCACTTGATAGCTGACAGGAGATCACATACTTCAAAATATGAATTATATTTATTTCCAATGATAAATGCAGGAGCCAAATCTTGATATTATATTATCCTTCATTAAATTAACTATGTCATAATTTGGTAAAACAAAAACATAAAATTAAAAAGAATTCTCCTGGCTTATAATTCTAGAAATCTAGGTCTAATAATATACTACATAATCTTAGATACATAATATTATACAAATTCTATAAACATCTCAATATTCTCTAACAATTAAATTTCTTTAACTTTCCTTATTCAAATATTACCCAAACCCTGTAATTTTATTCTGCATAATGACCCAAACTACTAAATGAGAACAGTTCAGGCCAAGAAAGTTTATTTTGCTTGCTTAATTTGTGAACAGAACATCTCATAAATTTGTGAGCCAGGTTATTTGTTTGAAATATTTACACATCAATGCAGGTCCAAGGAACGATCCAACAATTTTAATGGTATCTATTTGACTTTGTGGAAGTGATGTTAGAGAAAAAAGAAATCTAATGTACAAAATATAATAATATAATCTTTAATAAACAAAATTATTATTTTATTACCTTTTGGAAATATTACAATTTCTGAGACTGTGGTACAAAATAACTCCAGATGTTTTAGTATCAACTGCAATATTTATTTCAGGACTAGATTTTTTTATATAAAATGGAATGATCAGGATTTCTGACAGAAAATCAGTTGAAATCTAAATCTAGTATTTTCTTTTGGAATGGGGCTACTGAAATCTTGAAGATTTTTCTTGCCAATTTTTGTAATATTTTTAGTTGCCAAAGGTTCAGAAGTTCATGAATCTCAGTCCCATGACTTATTTTGATCTAAAAGTAATTCTTTAATTCAACAAAATTATAACGCCTACAACCACATAAATTTGTTCAAAAATAATATAACAAAGACAAAAAAAATATCGATCATAACCTCATATACTAGTTTTGATCCTAAATAATTCTTGCTGGACAGGATACAAATACAAGAATTTTCTTTTCAGAACAACAAATAAGACATCTCCTCAAATATTCAAAATAAGCAGATTAAAATCGAATCGAAATTATACTCCAAATAATGAAGATATGCTCTGAAAAGCTTTGGTCCACAATATATTAGAAAAGAAAATCCTCATCTTGTAATCCACATGGAAGCCAGTTGATTCGTGCCACGTCACTGCAAATATTTTTCTTCACCACTGCAGCATTAGGTTACAAAAGCAGTAAAATCATCAGCTTTGCACTAAATTAAAAACACTTTCTGGTTGGAAATTACTCCTCAATGGAAATACATGTAACATAACATGGAGAACAACTAAAAACAGGTTGGTGTATGCAAATTTCTCAAGTGACCTCCACACTAAATTGTCCAAATCAAGACAACCTTCATTGTGGTAGAAAATACATTGACTTCCAGCTACCCCTAAATCATATTGGTATTAAATCACATTATGTTTTTCGGCAGGAAAAAAGTTTTCTTTTGGTCCCCCAACAATTACATGTATTAGTTAATAAACTTGATGTGTTTTCATTGCAAAGTCAATTTATATAAAATCTTTTATAAGCTAGAGTGTCACAAGAAGCTAATCTATTCCATATCATCATGGGAATTATGATTTGTTCCATTGTCAAGGTACTCTTGTGGCACAGTTGTTGTGTAGGTAAATTTCTCTAAGGTAGGCTTAGGTCCCTTTCCACGCACAGGAGCACCGGTCACTTTCTTCTCATACCCATAGATAATATCCTGGTCTGATGGCAAGGTCGATTTGAATGCTGGTACTTCATATGCATCTGCTAGGTATTTCCAAACAAGAGGGAACTCTTTGGGAATATCAAAATCTTTATAAGCCTAAAAGCATAAAAGTGAACTTATCATTAAATAGAAAAAAAATAATAAAAATCGTTTACTGAATATTATCAGCCAAAGATATGAATTGGAGAGCAGAAATTGGATGAATTCAAAATTTCTGACCCAGACACCATAGTCTATAGACCCATATCTCAACACATTGAAATGTCTAAATACATACCATGTGTGACCTAAATAATAGTATTTATACCCCTAGCAGACTTGGCAAATATAAATGCTGAATATTGTCAGGTGTCTAAGAACTACTGCTGTCTTATTTATAAATAAGTCTTATGACTGGACTTACCTTGCCAGCAACTCTGATGTGCTGTAATCTGGGTAACAAATGACAGTCAGAAAATGACAGGACATCATCTACTAAAAACTTGGATTCATGTGATTCTAAAAATTCTTCTAATTTTTTCAATTCAGTAATGAGTAAGCTTTCACTTTTGCCTGACAAGAATTTATTAAAAGCCTGAAATGAACAAAATGAATTAGGGTGAAGGGAGATAATTTATGCAGGTCTTATAACAAGTTTCCTTTACACCTAAAAAATTTTGGGTGGTATTCAGTTATATACATGAAGGAGGACTGCACTAGTACCAATGAAAATACTTCTCTACCACTACCAAACGCACAGAAACTTCACATGTGAAGAATGCACACCTCATGAATACTGAAACCAGTCTATATTTCTATGACTTTAAAAATAAGATTACACTTACATTGTATAAATCTTCTATACATTTCATGGCCCCAACATTTGGTGCATTATGACGTTTCAATTCTGGACAATCTCGGTTTATGCTTTCAAAGAATGTTTCTAATTCTTCAAATGTATCGTACATCATTCCTGAAATGTCTTTTCCAAGTTTTGTGAAGCATGATCGTGCCTTGACCACAGGGAATTTTTTACTCCAGCCTTCTTCAAGGAAGTTTTTAGGAGGACAATCCGCTTGCACTGTGAAAACTTTGAAATTGACACCTTCCTGGTTTTCAGCCATTAAATAAGAAATCATGAACCACTGATGGCATATTGGACAGGATCCTCTTGTTTCCTTATCAATAGCTGAAGCCTGAAATTAAATGAAATAAAGTTATTGAAATCAATCAATATGACAATAAAGACTAAACTAAGCATGGATTAGCCATAATCATTATTCTGTTAAATGGTAAATAATATCTATTGAGTTAGTTAGCAGCCTCCAATCAAGAAGTGGTATCTTTTTATGGCTTATATACCCTAATAAAAACAGGAGCAGCAATTGATGTGCTGAAGTATTGGAACTAATTAGTAGTAATCAAAATAATTAATAGATATTATAAGCCATAATGTGCAGATAGATGAATCACACATAATGAACTATATAATATGACTACTGTCAACCAGGATTTTATTTTAAGATGTCTGATTTTAAAGATGTCTTATTTTAAAGATGTCCTGCTTGAATACCCAAGGTCGCGAGGTAAGCCGAATATGAAGTTGGTTTAAATTTTACACACAGTGTAAACTGCATATTAAAATAGGCATTTTAACGCAATACTATTTATCAATATAATGGGTTTATTGAAATTAGAATGCATACACATAAACACTGTGTGCAACATAGTGTGAATTTCTCAAATACATGTAAATAACTTTCGATTGCCTGCTTTGTCACTATCCCAGTAAAATGGCGCCGTATGTCCTCGATCTAAACATATCACATTTCAAACGGTTTAAATAGAGGATACAATTAGTAAATGATTTAGATGGAATAACAAAGCGGATAGTCTGTTGTCGACATACAGTTATTAGTTTCAGAACTAATGCATTGATCTGTGAAATCTACCTAAATAAGTTGCCATTCGGTGACACAGATTCCTTGAATGTACTGAATCGCTAAATCCGCCATAAAATCTCCTTGTACTGTTGAAATAAGGCAAGAAAAATTCTCCTCACCTTAATATATAATTCAAATTCCTGTTTAGGTCCATCGCTAGCTCCATTAGCGGTATCATTTTCGTAAACAACTGGCGCTTCGTCGCTCATTTTGGCAGACAAATTTTGTAGAAATGTCCGACAATTTGTGAACCGTACTTATCTTTACGATGACGCAGAAACCTCGCCCAATGTCACGGACACCACTGCGCATGTCTTTTGATATGGTAGGGTCACATGATTCACTTTACATCTTGTATCGGGGGTTGAAATATATATCATGTATATATCATTTTTACGTCTTAGTTTGAGGGTGGTACAAATTAATGTACACTGTCAATGACGTGGATACTGTATTTCGTATATAGGCTACTGATTTCGAGCCATAATTTTATATATCCACATTCTGGACACGAGATAGGCTAGGCCTACCTGATTTTTCTTACCGTATCCTTGTTATTTAGGCTATTATCCTGCCCCCTTGGCTTAATATCTGCTATGATATGAAACAGGTATTAAAGGAGAACGATTTGTAATTCAATTTTGTTAATAAATCATCATTTACAAGATAAAAGATGTAGTTTAAAACATCCAGAGAACTCAAAACGTGCCGGATCTATTATTACTAAAATGTCTATTAAGCCTATATTTATTGAGCTAAATTTAGAAATTGTAGAGCAGGGTGGTGTAACATTGAAAATGAGTCAGTTTTTATTTTTCATAAAAAATAGGCAGATTTAGAAAAATGTAGAAAAAAATACCTGATGAAATATTAGTCAACTTTATATAGACTATTGTTTATTTTCTCTAGCCTTATAAGGAATAATATTCATGGAGCATTTCCTTATATGGAAGAGTTTCGTACCGATCTATTGATTAACAAAGTTAAGAATGAGATAAGACTAGAATATCTGTTAAAGATTGTCAGATATACATAAAGGTCTATATACTTTCAATCAATTCATATATTAACACCACGGAATGTTTGCAGATATTCGATCAATCAAAAAAAAATCTATTATATGATTCCATATGGAAGTGGAATGGCGGCGGCAGTGTGGGTACAGGGCATTTTCCCAAAGAAAATTGGTTCGTTCCCCCGTTTTTACCCCGACTTTATTTCTAACAAATATAAAAATATAAATATGTGCCAAAATGTACCTTAACAATTCTAATTTTTTAAAATGTTCCCGGGAGAAAACCCTCTTAGACGCTTCATGTAAGGATTCCAGAGAGGTGCAGCATTTTAATCTCAACCTGTTCCCCAGTCAATCTGCCGCAAATAAGTACCCCCATGTCTCAGAGGCTTGCCTCGCCACTAGCAATTTATGTCTTTTTCGCGCGTTCGTCTTTTGAAGGTCATATTGAAAGTAATAACAAATCTTCGGAACAGAAATTGCTTTCAGTCAGATGCGAAAATGCAGTGAAAGGACAAAATCCAATTTCCAGAAAATTCAAATTATAGCACACTTTATTCGCCATGAGTTGCTGAATATTAGTGTGCCTCAACAGTTTCTGTAATACTGGTGGAACATTCACGATTGACCGTTTGAGCAGAACTCGACACAGGCTTTTTTTCAGCTATTATTCAAGCTATGCAATATGATGGTCTTAGGATTTGGGATTATCTATAGTGTGTATTTAACACGGGGCCGTAGATACAGGGGAGCAAGGGCGGGTGCATTTTTTAACAATTTTTTATTATAATGTCCTGGAAGTGATTGTAGGGAATAGTGAGAAATTTTAATTCCCAAGTGATATAAATAACTGAGATTTCCGCTATATGTTTCTCACTATCTCCATTTGTTCCATGCTAAGTTTTTAAATATTGTATAGCAATACCCGTAAGGTGTAATGTTTTATACGAACAAACCACAATAAGAGAATTGATGGTGATGGCCAAACACAAACGTATTGTTTATACGTTTTATAATAGGCGTCGTTTCATTTTGATATGTGACATTTGATGATGTCAGATTATGTAAAAAGTTATATTGTAGTTTGGTCAAGATACAGGGTTGCCCCCAAATCGCGTTGGATGTATCGTCCGCCTTCCTAGATTAGAACATTTTCCCGGGGTGCCCCCACCCCCCCCCACCCCCCTCTCACCGCGACTAGTACCCTCTTAAATTCATCAAGGTAGCCGAAATGCTCATATTCATTTGCATCATGTAATACGAAAACATAGGCCTACCAGAAAAATATTTTTCATTTATGTGGCTAAGTAAACCAACCCTAAACCCTAATTCGAAAAACCCTCTAATAGCTCTAACCACCGGCCCTATCATCAATCAAACAAAAAATTACAACAACCAAGTCAGAATTGAAACAAGTTGTATAATTTACGTTTCTGTTTGACAGACACTCCAGTCAAATATTTCACATACAATTGGTTGGTCTAATTTATTTTCTCCATTCATGATATTGGTGGCGTAACACATTCATTACTCACTGCACCCCTTCTAGACTTTTCTAGATGGTTTGTGTACAATGCCTAACTTGCCCTTTGGCAATTAATAATCCGAGATATAATGCCAAACCTGCTCGATAATTGGCATGATGGTTTCAATATTTGTGTCCTCATTTTCCAGGAGGGGCATAAAAGCGAAATTGTCAATATTGGAAAAGACTATATTCCCTACAATAACTTTTTTTTTTTGGTCTGGATCTATGGTATTTTTGGTTATCATAAAAAATAAGGGTTTCTTTATCAAGGCTGATATTTTCAGCCTTTCAAATAAAACTGAGGTACGACCCAGAGCTGGTATGGGCTGTAAAGACAAATACCCCAATTGGATTTATTTTCAATATATTACTTTGTACTTTAATATGAACACTGTCACATAGGGTATAGTATATTACCCACACCCTTTGTGGTTCTTATTCCAAGTTTATAAAGTTCAAAGGTCATTGGGTAGATGACATACCTCTAGGTTAATAACATTTCTTTAGAAAGTTAGCAATTACTTCAATGTTAAAATATACATTAGGGATTGGTTATGCTTGGTTTAATAGTACACTGTAATATATAGCTATGAAATAACCTTTTTAACAGTTTTGTTGGTTTATTTTGAGTCATGACTCCATAAAAGTTTTCTTGCAGAAATGTATGTTATCTGGAGACACTTACAGCAACTACTTGCACCATGCAAAATTTATTTTTGAACAATATTTGAGGTTCATCTTTGTAGTTATTTCCATTTTGGTTAAATGAGATTAAATTTAATAGTAACATCATGATCTGTCAAGATTACTGGAATTACAGAAACCACAAATATCAGCCCAGAAAACGTAATAGGTGTAATAGACCTTAAAGTATCCTGATTGCCATTTATAAGTTTGAAAAAAGGGGCTACATTGGTGATAACAATTTGTGGGATACATCATATCCATAATTTTCAAAGAGTTATACAGCCCGGTCGCCAGTAATGTATGGGTACTTTGGCTCAGATTTTGTAGAATTAAAGACACAGAGAACTCATTTCTGTCAATTTTGAGGTGCCAAAAACATAACAAAATCTATATCTTTTTGAATTTTGTACAAAGACACTGTAACCGAAGCAATCTCTTCTGAACTGAAGAAGATTTTGCTTGGACTTAATTCTCATTTACTGGGGGTCAGCCCCCACAGACTCCACCCTAAGTTAATACACACCATTAACATCTATTTAACATGATTTATTGACAATAACCAAAAAATAACAACGACCATTTAATTTGCATTGATAGAACTATAAACATGACCACAAATTTTCACTTAAAGATTGTATTTCACATGGTACAGATGAAATTTATGTGAGGGATGTTTCTATTCATTCAGTATTAAAAATTATAATTTTTATTGACTCAAGTATTCAACATCACATAGACAAAATTGACAAATTTACCAACCAAAGCACAAAGATAGTAGAAAACTGAAATAGATACTCATTCTTTTGGTTTCCAATTCTTCTTTTGCCTCTAAGGATTCATAACAAAGAAGTAATTTACTCTGGAAGTGCATGTAAGAACAAACCTGCAAAATTAGCATAACCCTAGCAATATGAATTGCATTTCCTTCTCTTTTTGGACCTTTGATAAGTCAGTATCACCTTTTTTGTTGGGCAAAATACTGTAAAGCTTTAACATCTAATTGAAGATATTTTCTTTCCCTTTGATGGACTTCATCATTCTTCTTATCTTCCAATGACCTGAAATTATATATTAAAAAAAAACATAGCCTGAAACTCTAAATAACAACATGATTCAAGTTCTGTTTTAATATTTCTAAAAAAAAGCTCATTAAATTTGAATTGACCCCATATTTCCAATTAACAGTATATTGAAAGGTATCCATTGTGCACACTCCAAAAGGGATGCTGAGATGACATTTATCAGGTTTTATTTATGAAATAGATCATTATGAATATGTCACCTTATTGAAGACTGTTTATGTTGTATTTGTCTAGCTATAATAGAAGAATTATTATCTGGTATAGTTCTATGATTCAACCAACTTTTATATCCTTCTCTTTCATTCTGTAATTTCTCTTGGATCTCAACATATATATACCAACTCTCACTGTTTTCTATAGTAAAATAAACACAAAAACATCATACACTTGACTACAACTCAGTTTATCAGACAAATCTTGCCTTACCTGTTCCTGACATACAGATGGGACATTGACACAATTAGGGCCAGACAGAAATGGTACTACATGGTATCACACAGTAGGATTTTCCTTTCTTCATACATCTGTGTAAATTAAACCTACCCATCAACTGTATTCTGGTACGAGACATTGTAGAATATCGAGCAATGTCTTGAACTCATTTGGATTAGATTTGAATAGATACAAAATTTTATGCAAAATTTGGCTTTAACTATGGCTACATTCTCAAAATCAAGCCAGTCTAAAGTGGGTCACATAAGAATTGACATTATATGTCTGGCCCTAAATGTGCCAATATCCCATCAGTATATCACATCCAAGAAACGGGCAGGGCCAGATTTTTTTTACCATGACTATAATTATCTATCATCTTAATAATTCAGAGCCCAAATATAGATTATAATTGGTACTTGTTGGTATATCTTAGAATTTTCAGTACCTTAACTAAAATAGGGATAAGAACTTTATCACAAGGTAGAAGGCGAGAATCCAATTAATAAAGTCAATAGGAGGAAATTTTCTACTGTCTTCAAGAATCAACCAAAGTTAAAGGAGCACCTTCACTATCCGTTCCACCAATCATACCTTAGTTTTAGAAACAGGAATTTTTTTTAAGATTATATAATCAATAATAGTGTTCATAGCTCATCATCAAAATTTGAGCCTTCAAATCCATGTCTATCCATATTTACGTTGGAAAGTTAAAAATTCGAATTGGATTTTAGTGAGACTATGCCATATATAGAAAAACATATTATATAGAAAGAGACAGAGACATTTCTATTTTGCGGTATATTTGAAGGGATTATGCGATTTTCGTGCGTTTTAGTACTTCTTAAGACTATTAAAGCACATTCAAGACCCAAATCAATCCCCGAAAATTCAGACTGTTACCCTTTAAGAAGAAAAGTTGAAAGTGTTAGAAGACAATGAAGGTCTAATTAGAACAGGATTTGTAATTATCTGATAACCCCACCTTTTATAAACAATAGGTATATAATAAGGCTAAGTGTGTTTATCTAATCTCTGTACTGTTATCATACATATTTCAGACATATATATATATTCACTATCTCTAAGATAAGATAACATTATAAAAATTCAAATTTCAATCACCTCTGACTTTGATAACCCTACAATACCAATTGAAGACCTTTAACAGAGTGACATTGGGTGACTTAGTGAGTTTGCTAAGCAAAACATCCTTACTTCAATCAGTCAATTTGGCTTTATAAAGCCTGTTTTGATGCTGGTGTGCCTTATCGCATTGCATTTTTTTTCAATGTATCATTGATGCAGATTGAAAAGGGTATCTTGTTGTGGAGATGTAAAACAAACTCTGTGTACCATAACAATTTTTTAAGAGGGTAGGCATGTGTCACCATCTTAGAGTTAACTTCATAGACTGCATGTCATAGACTATAGCTTGTTGATAAGCTGATGTCAAATATTGTATCATTGTTTCTACCTTTGACTAAAAGATGATTAATTAGTAAAAAGACTTGCACTTGCACAATTAATAAAGATTTTATTCATCTTTGTAAAACCATCCAGAAGATAGTTTTGATAATTTTGTTGAAAATTCTCAATAAACTATCAGAGGGGTCCACAAGTTTTAGACTACTTGAAGTTGTACAATTGAAAACAAACATATTTGTGTTAAAGAACTATTATACTAAACATCTTATAACAGCTATATGTTAATGTGTTTGCTTTTCAATTGAAGAAAGTTTTTTTAACCAATCCATTCAAGCTATTTGTGAATGGTGATAGTTAACATTCATTCAAATAACTTGAGTGAAGCAGATATTTAAAGATATCAACATTAAGGGGGCAATATGCACCAAATTACATCATATTCATATAATGATGATTTGAAAAATAAAGATTATGTGGAAAATGGTTTGAAAATAATAACTAAATGAAGTTGATGAAAGAAAGATCTTGGCAAACTTTTAAAGGGCCACTTTAGTCTCAGAAACTGGAATTTTTTTTTAGCTAAGTCAATCAGTAATAATGTTCACAGTTCACCATCAAATCCATGTGTGTACAGAATTATCTTACTTTGAATGTTAAAATGATGACTTGTCACGTTATGATACTCTGTGATATATAGAAAAGACATATAGAAATAGTGAGAAAAATTCCTAATTTGAAGTATTTTTAAAGGAATTATGTGACTTCTCAAGACTATTTACATATATTCAAGACTAAAATCAACCCCTCACAATGGCACACCTGTCCCTTTACAGATGTTTTGTTCAGAAAATACTAAATCGTCATTCTTCTATGGGATCTATGGCTACTCAATGCTTTTGTAAAATTGGCTTGTTGGACACAGTAGGATATGCTACATGCTATGCATTTGACTTGATTGACCTTGCAGTTAAAAATGCAAAGTTATTTATCATTATGTTAAAATTAGTTTTTACAGATAAAAGCAGGTTAAATTTTGGAGATATAAGTTGAAATCTGAGGGAAGTTTGTTATATGAAATATAAACCTGTAAAACTAATTAACACAAAGTTATTTTAGAACTATGAGTAATTATCATGAGCTGATATTTCAACCTGCATAAAAATAATAAGTAAAATTCACCAACAAAAGTTTGGTTTAAAAATCTATCTGGTACAATGATTTTAATATCAATGAATGAATAAATGTATCTACTACACACTTTAAAATTGGTCAATTTTATTGACATAGTTATCTCTTCTACAATGGAAACTTGTCGCCTGAACTGATAGTTAAAAGGTTTTATTGGTAAGATAAAAGCAATCAAATGTAAACATGAATAAATGTGATTCACAATTAATAGCTACCAGTGGATGAGAACAATTAGCTTGTATAAATACTTCAGAGGCCTACATGTAGTAGTTTATGTGCTATGAATGAATTCAATGTTTAGGATGAGCAGATTATGTGAGAAATTCATCAAACACACCACTTGTATATGGTAAAAAAAAATCAAAACAAGTCAAGTACAGCACTAAGCCCTTTCACACTGTTTGAAAATATTACCAGTTTAAAGTTGAGCTCCTAAATTTAATCCAGCAATGTTTGTTGGAAATGTTGAAAAATTGTACATATTTGGAAAATTAGTATTCAATTTCATTAGTTCTATATCTAAGAATTGCACTTATGTTAAACTATTCTAATAAGTTCCACTATTTTTTTTGTAAAAATGTTTTTTTTTTTAATTTTCTATCTGTATGCACTATGTGACTCTTCATATTATGTGGAGGAATAAAATCTTATAATAAATTACCAGCTTTTAGTTGTAAAGCCAGTCTAGTAAATAAAAATTACCTGGTTCTAGTTGTAAAGCTAAGTAATATAAATCATCTAGTTCTAGTTGTAAAGCTAAGTAATATAAATCATCTAGTTCTAGTTGTAAAGCTAGTATAGTAATATAAATCATCTAGTTCTAGTTGTAAAGCTAGTATAATAATATAAATTACCTAGTTCTAGTTGAAAAGCTAGTTTAGTAATTACCTGGATCTAGTTGTAAAGCTAGTATAATAATATAAATTGTCTAGTTCTAGTTGTAAAGCTAATATAGTAATATAAATTATCTAGTTCTAGTTGTAAAGCTAGTATAATAATATAAATTACCTAGTTCTAGTTGTAAAGCTAGTTTAGTAATTACCTGGATCTAGTTGTAAAGCTAATATAGTAATATAAATTATCTAGTTCTAGTTGCAAAGCTAATATAGTAATATAAATTATCTAGTTCTAATTGTAAAGCCAATATAGTAATGTAAATCATCTAGTTTTAGTTGTAAAGTAAAGCATGTCTGGTTGATATAAATTACCTGGTTCTAGTTGTAAAGCTAGTTTAGTTGATATGAATTATCTAGTTCTAGTTGTAAAGTAAAGCATGTCTAGTTGATATAAATTACCTGGTTCTAGTTGTAAAGCTAGTCTAGTGAAATGTAAACAATCATCATATTTAGATAATGAGTATAAAACTAGTGTTAATTGATGACATGTTGACCACATTAAGCTCTGCCATTCTGTTGATACCATGAACTGCTCATCTTCACATGATGCAGGTTCATCTGAAAGACAGAGATATTCCTCTAAGAAATAGTTTGATGGTAAACAAGAAGTGGTAACCATTCTGATGATTGTACCATTCACTGAATTAGAAACAAAAGTGTGCATATTCTGTATCATTCCAATCACCTGGAACAATGCCTAGATCTTTTGTTCCACCATGGACCTCTGTATAAAATCATTACTTGGTATGTGGTTTGTCAGTTTTGTGAAGCAAAATGACATACATGTAATCTACCGATGTTGTCGGGTTTCTACCACTTTTGCATGATGTCCACCGGTGGGATGTCCAATTCTACCTATTTTTCATTTTTTTCTTAATCCAAATTTTCACTCACGGGACCTACCGTTTTCAATGTCCAAATTCTGTACCATAAATCAACGATATATCTTTCATTACTTGTATCTTGATTGCCGGTAACACGTGTTAATCTCATCACGTAATAATATTACCATTGCCTGATTAATTAATCCCCCAATTAAGATGTTAATTTGAGCTAATTTCACCTGATAATGTGTATTTCAGACCCACGTGACACACTTTTTATAACAACATCCAGTAGATTCTACTTTCACTTTTACGATAAATTTTACGGTAGCTCTACTTTTTCTAAAAAACGAAATCTTCATAGTATTTTATATTAACTGTCAATCTGTGAGGTCAATAGGCTTATATAACATAGACAACGTTTCAAAAATCTTTTAATTATCTATAGATTATCATGCATGATTTTAAATGAGCTGTATTTAGGGAAAATTACCAGGAAGTGCCAATCCCAATAAACCTTTTTTCAAGCTGATGTAGTAAAATTTTTGAGTGCAAACTTTGCTTCTCCGTGAATGACACATTAATCAGTTGTAATAAATAATTCAAAAAGAAGAATGAGTCACAACTTTTACCACTAAAAAAATTAACGTCAATCTTCTCTGTTAAAAATATTTCTAGATCTCACACAAGTGACACTGCACCAAAAGTTTTTGTAAGCAACTAACAAAAGCCAGAAATATTTTGTTACAAAAACAAGTCCAAAAAATGTGTTAAGGATGAGCCAAAATAAACATCAACTAAAACTGTCAACTATTGTAGAAAAGGTTTATTTGTGTAGGAGGACCGAATTCTAATTCTGACTTTTCACAGTTGCATTCATGAAATTAACATGTACATCTGCAGACGACCTGTGTTATACTGCGACTGAATAGCAGACCGTCAAATATAAAAACGTGTCAAGGTTGCTCTTGTTTATTTAAGCTTTTCTATCTCTAAACCATTGAAAGAGATAATTTTAGAACATACCAGAAATGTGTTGGCCAGTTAAGCTGATTCGTCGCCTTTTAGCTTGTTGTTCAATTGTTTGTCCATTAACAGCAGAAGTGTCTGTGATCAACTGCGGGACAGTTGTTGGAAATTCTTGGAGTGTTTCGATTACTCTTCAAAATAAAAGAGATGTTTATGTATCAGAAAGTGTGAAAGAAGTCTACAATAGTAATCCACATACAATCAATTTGATACTCTTAGATACAGTGAAGGAAATTTATTTCATTTATTCAAAAATCTCAACCATTTTTTTCAGTATTTAGTTTTTTTATTCAATTTTCCAAAAAGTTAACATGAACAAAACAAATGAAAAATTTAAACATCAACTGCATCTTATAGAATATAGTCACTTTAAAGATGAGTATCTTTATTTTTTAGTGTCAAATTAAGCAAACTATTTGATTGATTGATGTTTCTAATGAATTATCATGTAATCTTAATCATATCATTATAATATTATTACATATGATCAAGATTTTTAACCAATCATTAATGTCCATGTATGTACAGTCTTGATAAACAAAGGAAGACTTTTTGACCTTTCTTGATCGGTCACTCAATTGGTATTTTTCCAAGTCATTAGAACACCTCTACTTTCTATTCATATCAGAATTAGCATTTTCATTTTCATAAATAAAAATAAGGGAACCCATCTTTAATGTAGTTTGAATGCAGTTTACTTGGGAAAGAAAAAAGTAATGTAGAAAGCAATCTTTTCCAATCAATTACTCACAAAACAACAAAATACCTTTCATAGACAGTGATAGCTTGATCAGTTCTCTTTAATTTGACTAGTGCTTCAGCTTTACAATACATTAACATCAGTTGACAATGGACATCCTGCCATTTTCTATATCTCAACTTATTACTACTGGTTGAGTCTGACCTATGTCTTTTACGCTGGTCATGTTCATCATCATCATCATCAAACAAATCATCAAATGCATCACTTGAAGGAGACCTGGCATTACCATCCTCAGTATCATCATCAGAAGCTTCATGTTCATCAGAAGTATATGATGAGAGTGCAGCATCAGAAACTGTCAAACATTGGTCATATTGTTGTGAAAGATTTAAACTTTGACAAGTTTGAAGGTAAACAGATGCTATATCTGGTAGAGTTATACTATTTTCTTTTAGAAATAGATTTTGTACTGAAGAAAGGCACTGAAAAAGAATAGCTAAATACATAGAGATCAAATATACACGACAAAATGTATTTAAGTGTGAAGTCAACAAATATTCATCACATAGAAATTATGTTTTCCAACAGAGTAATAACTCAACAGTGACAATATTAAAAGATAGCTTGCCAGGCAAGGTAACATACGCCCACTGGCAGCTGTCAGAAATGATTAAACAGTCTTTAGTGACTACAGGGTTGCACAATATAGCTAATAGAGTGAAACGTCAAGTCAGACACGATATTTCGGTGAAAAATTATCCGATCATCACGAAAATCAATAGGGATCATCTTCATAACAACATTGACATACAAAATAAAAATCAAAAGTAGCCTGTAGAGTGAGCACGAGCCAAATGTGAACGGACGGACCGACGGGGTGATTACAATATACGCCCATCTTACATGTGGGCGTATAAAAATGACAGATTTTTCTTATTAATGTGGCATTCTGTTTCTTTTGTAAGATAAAAAACTTTTTTGTTCAAATTTATGAAAACTAAACTCTGTTTGATTCAATTTAAAGATGGGTTTCCTTATTTTTTAGTGCCAAATTAAGCAAACTATTTGATTAAATGTTGTTTCTTATGAATTATCATGTATTCTTAATCATTTCATTATGTTCTAGTTGCATATAATTATAAGTTTTAACCAATCATAAATGAACATGTATGTACAGTCAGGATAAACAAAAAAAGATTTTTTGACCTTTCTAGATCGGCCACTCATTGGAATTCTGCTGGTCATTTAATTTAGCTAATTATGAATTAATTTTGGACATGTGAGAAAAACTGGTATATTTGCAAGTCATTTGAATACATCTTCTTTCTATTCATATAAGTATTAGCATTTTCATTTCCATAAATGAAAATAAGGGAACCCATCTTTAATCAAATACAATGGAACTATATGTACCTGATATGGTGGAATATATGTAGAATCTGTAATAATAGCCAATAAATCTAAATATCTGTCTCCTGCTTCATTATACCTAAAATATACATCAAATATATTCTCATCTTTGTATATGTTACACTTGGCTTCAAAAATCTAGTCAAATATTCTGACATTACAGCACCAAGATTACCATAACAGTACAAAGGAGAATCCCTTCAAGCTAGTTGATAACAATAAATTACAGAATTATGTATAAAGATGAACAGATTTGAACAGACACTAATATGAGAAAAACCTTGCCTCTGTTCAATGAGTTGGCTGACTTCTGTCTGAAATCAAATTTAGGAAAGTAAACCCCTATTTCCTGACCTGATAAGGAAAGTGTTGGCAGAATGTGGTGATCTCTAGTCATATTTTTTATGCTATCATAATAAATTCAGGAATATTTTTTAAAAATTAATATGTATTATTTAGAAATTCGAAAAAATATAAATGGTAAAAATTGACTTTGTACAGACATGTCCAATTCATTCAATATTATATGTTAATAAGACGACTAGTGGAATCTTGTCTAAATGTCGTGTTTAAGTCGTAGGCCTATTGGTACCATTCAATTTAGAGGGCTGGGATCATGCTTGCTTTCTTGTTTTCAAACATCATTTCACCTTGACATCATTTTTGATTCAATCAATACTGAAGAATGACAATATTAATTTTTTGGGACCCTAAATTTGAAAAATCAGGCATTATTTCTAGAATTATTTTACCTGGGAAGGCCTATCCCTAATTATAGTTTTTTTAATGTTTACTGTGTCATGTAGGTCTATGATCAATTTAATTCATTTACACGGCATAAGGCTTACATAAAAAAAAAGACAGAATAAATTTGGAGTTTCAAATCACGAATTTACGCACTTTGGAAAAATCTCCCGACTTTTCACCCAATCTCCAGATTTTTTTTCTTAACCTGTTCACATGTATGGTTAAAGAAATATAGTAATTGTTATATATAGAGACTCAATAAAGATAAAACATTTGATTTTAGTGAAGACTACAAAAATCTAACCTTTAGGTTCTGAAACAATATGTTATAACATCTGTATATAATGAGTAATAAAGAATATCATGTTATACTGATATATCTATATATATAACATGATGTGTGATATCCTGTCATGAACTGACCATATGTTATAAATCACCAACTTATATATCACGAAATTTCAGTTCATGGCTATTAATTCACATCATGTTAGTAACATATCTACCAAATATTCTTAACATATAAATAACAAATTGATTCTTGCTTGAAATGTACCAATAAAATACCCATAACAAGCACGAAATTCCAGTCAAGGGCTATTAATTCACAACATTTTCTGCCAGTCGTGTTGGTGCATTTATTTCATACATACTTAAAATAGCAAATTGATTCTTGCTTGAAATGTTTTATATCATGATGATAGGGTCTACTTGATAGTCTTGTATCATACCAATTCTAGTTTCTATTCCACAAATATACATTTTTGAGACACTAGCCATATAATTCGATGCCAAAATATGATCGCTTACCATGTTGGACTGGTATATTGTTATGTGTCATGGTGGATAGCGTGGATAGCAACAGCTCATCAAATGTGACCCTTTTTTGTTTTTAACTTTGAAGATCGCTAACCTTGACTTTCGTCATAATATTGCTGTTTATACATGTGACAGCAGAAGGCTTTATGGAAAATAATAACCATTAAGAAGTTATAGTAATCCTCAGAATATAACGAATCATGAACAAAACCAAACAGTGTTCGATTCTTGTGCTTTCCTATCTATAAGTTTAAATTGAGGTTGAAATCGAGATAAAAAAAATATTCCGTTGGCCCTTAACAGTAAGTGCTTCCAACAAATTAATATACCTTGTTTGCATTTTATTAATGCAAAGTCGATTTAAGCAAATCCTGCAAATTTCGACACATAAATGTACTTAAAATAGCAAAGAATTCCCATGTCAATCCCTTTCTTTTAAACCTATTTCAGGTTTTTGTTTTCTTCCACTTCTATCTATTAGACTATTTTCAAGATGAATCTAGTCATAACCAATTAATTGACTGTCAAGTTATATTAGAAAAACATGTCACTTTATATTCTTTTCATTATATTACTGACCTCAATCAATGACATGCTTTCAATAATTCATTAGGAAAGTTTGGAGCTGAAACCACACAATCTGATATTCTTGTTCCTTAACTTGTTTGATTAATTTTTATTTTCAATATAAACTGTAAATCCATTTTTGTCCCCAAAACATAATTTATTTAGGGAATTTACTATCATGCTGATTTTATGCACTAACAGTATTGTTTTTTAATATCAGGTTGATATCAATGTCTATTATCAGGTTGATATCAATGTCTATTATCTATATGCATGTCTATTATCAGGTTGATATCAATGTCTATTATCTATATGCATGTCTATTATCAGGTTGATATAAATGTCTATTATCTATATGTATTTGTAATATCAGGTTGATATGAATGTGTATTATTCTATGTATATTTAATACAACATTTATATCAATGCCTATTACTAATATGTATTTCTAATATCATATTGGTATCAATGCCTATTATTAAGTATTTTTAATATCACATTGGTATCAATGCCTATTATTATGTATTTTTAATATCACATTGATTTTTAATATCACATTGGTATCAATGCCTATTATTATGTATTTCTAATATCACATTGATATCAATGTCTATTATTATGTATTTTTAATATCACATTGATATCAATGTGTACTTTTTCATATATCTTAAATCTTACATTGATATCAATGTCTGTATTTTTAATATCAAGTGGATATCAACATAATTTATTTTTTCAATAAATTTGCTATCAAGATTATTTCTATTTTTTAGATAATTTTCTATGTTTTTTTTTTAAATTTTACTGAAGAACTGTTATGTAAGTGTGAAAGTGTACATGTTCAAATTTCCAATAACCATAAATTTTGATTGCAAGATTTTGTGATTATTTTTTAAACATTTTATTGCTTTGATGGTTGTGATAGCTATTTATCTGGTATAGTGAGAGATTATTTTGAGTGTAAAATTCATTAAGTATAGTAGGTATTTCAGTTCTTCTACAACTTTCACTTTCCATATGTAATGTGCATATATAATTATGACATTGTTTTAAATATTAAGAAGAATCTGATATCAATTCAGAATTACAATTTAAAGGTGACATTCTAAATTGAAAAGGTACAACGTCAGTGATTTCAATGAAAATAGTTAAATCGATAAGCCATAATGCATGTATTTCAGTCATGAAGATGACATTTGCCTTAAAGTTCTCAAAGAGTAAAGAAACATTATGAAAAAATGTTTTGTTTTTTTTTCTCCTGGAATCTAAATTAAAATCCATTGTACAGAGTAAAACAAATATTGTCTTGATAAACAAGGCTGTTAATATGGAATTAATATTCTGCAGGGAGAAATAGACTTGAATAATGAGACTTCTCTGGCTTTAATTTGCTTTGATATACTTGGATTCAAAAAGTGTTTTACACTGTTAGATGCAGAATTGTACAATTTCTTGTTGTTTACAACTTCAAACAAGTATATAAGACATAAAAAAGTCTTGAATATTACTGGCATTGATCCATCTAGAATGGTTACTTTAATACTCTTCTATAATACAAAACTTAATTTTTCACACAAATACTGTGTACATATTATTTTCAGTATGATTTTATCAAATAGATATATTTCATAACAAGAAAAACAATATAATGAATTTTGTCACCACTAAATAATATAAATGGCACTGAAAAACAGCAGAATTTCATAGGTAATTTGAAACTTATACAAAGTAAAGTAAGTATAACTCTATTTCTATTCTTTTTACAGAACATTCTTCATTACTTATATATTCTTGTTAAAGGGATTGTTACAAAGGTTTCTTAACTTTTCATGTGTATCTGGAAAACTGATGGCATCAATTTGCATCATTCCAAATTTCAGTCAGATACATATGGCTCTTGCAATTCTATTAAAAGCAAGTGTTTTATGACATTACTATCTTCAAAGCTGCTATGATAGGCAATATTGGAAAAGGAATAATGCAATTTGAAGCTATCAGTGTCCCTGATACACATACAATTTTTAGAAAACCTCTTAACAATCCTTTAAATTGGTGGTAGTTTGATACTATGTCACACTAAGAAAAAATGCTAATTATAGAAGCACCAATATCAAATCCGTCTATATAACTCGTTACAGAGTTGAACTCAAAAGTTTCATAATATTCATCTATAAGTGGGAACGTACAGAAACATTTCAACCTGCATTCCCATCTAGTGCATCATAATAAAGACCTTCTCTGCCATTGTGGTAACCAGAGGCCAATATGATGAATAGATATGATAGCAATGGATTGAAATATATATGTCTAGCAACAAACATTTTCTGATCCTTCCATTGTTGCTCCTTCTATTTAATGGATTCAAGGGATGACTAAGAGTAGAAAGGGTATGAAATAAAGTAATTGGGAACCAGGGGTGATCTATACACATAAGTTCTATATTCCAGAAAAGAACTCAGAATATTGGAAAACTCTTACTGGAGATGAAAATTCATTTATATTGCAACCATAATATGTTTAACTTATAATGTTTCTATTTATATTCATGAAATAACAGAATGAAGACCCTTGCCATTTTTTTCGTTGCCATGATTATGTTGATGTTAAGTCAAGCTTTTAATTCTGCACTGGAAAGCTCAGATATTTTGAAAAGAGAAGGGCAACATACTGTGAAGAAGAGACAAGCTAGTCTTCTTGCTCAACTTTATGCTGCAGGATTAGATGGAGCTATAACACCAGATGAATTAGTTTTAATATTAGGACTAAATGATATCGAATTGAATCCAGTTATGCTGGCAGCTGATCTTAATGGTAATCAATTTAAGTTTATTTCACTTTTCTTAATTGATCAATTTAAAGGGAAAGGTTCGTCTAGCTAAACAGAACAGTAATAATGTTCACAACTCACTGTCAAAATTTAAGCCTTCAAATCCATGTGTGTACAGGATTATCCACGTTTGAATGTTAAAAAGACGACCAGTCATTTTTTTTAGACCTGTCAAAGCAATGACATTATAGAAAACATTTTTATAGAAATTGAAAATGAAATTCATAATCTGAGATATTTTTCAAGGAATTATGAGACTTTCATACATTTCCAGTATGTCTGAAAACTATTTAAGTACATTCAAGACCCAAATCAACAGCAAAATACAGCAAAATTTTGTCATAGAACAGTAAGGACTGATCATACAATTTCATTTCAATTCAAACTACCAGTCATATTTTGTTAATTATATAATTTCCATGTTTTTTTTATTAACAGCTGATGGAGTCATAAATAATGAATGGGAATATTATCTCTTGCTTGTAGCATTGGACAGTAAGATCAAATTTGGTTATAATTTATTTTTGACACTTGTGGCAGAGTACAAAACATTTCATTTGTCAGTCTTACAACAGATCATACACAATTCCTCTTTCTTTAATGCCTATTGACAAGAGATTATACTATATTTCTCTTTCTCTTAGTCTACTTCTCTTAATCTCATACTTATTTATTTCATTAGAGATCATACTCTACTTTTCTTACTCTCATACTTATTTATTTCACTAGAGATCATACTCTACTTCTCTTACTCTCATACTTATTTCTTTCACTAGAGATCATACTCTACTTCTCTTACTCTCATACTTATTTCTTTCACTAGAGATCATACTCTACTCCTCTTACTATCATACTTATTTATTTCATTAGAGATCATACTCTACTTCTCTTACTCTCATGCTTATTTATTTCACTAGAGATCATACTCTACTTCTCTTACTCTCATACTTATTTCTTTCACCAGAGATCATACTCTACTCCTCTTACTACCATACTTATTTATTTCATTAGAGATCATACTCTACTTCTCTTACTCTCATGCTTATTTATTTCACTAGAGATCATACTCTACTTCTCTTACTCTCATACTTATTTCTTTCACTAGAGATCATACTCTACTTCTCTTACTCTCATACTTATTTATTTCACTAGAGATCATACTCTACTTCTCTTACTCTCATACTTATTTCTTTCACTAGAGATCATACTCTACTTCTCTTACTCTCATACTTATATCTTTCACTAGAGATCATACTCTACTCCTCTTACTCTCATACTTATTTATTTCACTAGAGATCATACTCTACTTCTCTTACTCTCATACTTATTTATTTCACTAGAGATCATACTCTACTTCTCTTACTCTCATACTTATTTATTTCACTTGAGATCATACTCTACTTCTCTTACTCTCATACTTATTTATTGATTTTCACAAGATCATACTATATTGGTTTTCACAAAATTCATACTTTATTCCTATAACTCTCATATACCTTTCAATTTTTACAAGAGATATTTTATTTCAAATTTCAGTTGGTGGAAGTGGGATGATAGATGATAAATAAATACCCAGAATCATTAAATACCAATATCCTTCAATGAAGCACAAACTACTCTATTTCTCAACTTGCAATAAATATAATTACTGCAGTATTTATCTTAGTTTTCAATAATGATTTTCAATGTTCATGTGTCATTTCTGCTTTAGAATCAGCCCCATTAAGAAAGAAAGAAAGAAGCAAGTATATTTTACAATGATAACAACTTAAGCTCACAATTAAGGATCTTTTAAACCAGCTGGCATTGATCTTTCCTGGATTGTCCATACCCATGTACAGCTGGGTCCACTGGAATCATTAGTGAAGATGACCTATTCAATTAGAGAATTTAGACTAAATTTCGTCACTAATTCTTGGTTTTAAAGCATTTTGAGCAAACTAGGGCTGCAACGATGCACTGATGAATGGATGATCGCGATTCTTTCTGTCTTATCGATGCATTGCATTGGATAAAAATAATCGTGATGTATCAGCACAATAAATTCTTAGCCCCGTTTAATAACAAATGACAAACAGACTTTCACATTAAAATTTGCAAAAATTCATTTCTGACTTTAAAAATTGAGATTTTTTATCACAATTCCTTACTTTTAAATGTTCTGAAGTTCTTAATAGTGACAAACTTGTTAGTAATGTTACAAATTTCTAATTTTTTCTCTTTCCTTCTCTAATAAATGAATCACGATAATTATCGTAATAAATTGTATCGTTGGATGTATCGTTGGATTGTATCTTTGAACTTCAAGAATCATTGCAGCCCTAGAGTAAACATATGTTTAAGCCAGAAGAATGAAGCCAAACTTCCTAAGAATACACTTCAAATATATTCATTTCAACAGCACTCTTCTTCATTTTCCTACAGTGTGACCAAATTTTTGCATTATTATAATCTGTTTTGCTTAATCATCTATTTTGTACCATTCTAATGCCATGAGAAAGTATATCATCTATTCAATCTCTAAAAAATTATGTCAATTAAAAAATAAATAGGTCAATAGCTTTCATATATATTGTAATATAATAGGTATAATTATACAAGATGTTGTTATAATAGTCTACAGTGAATAGCTGAGTAGATATTATCTAATATTAATATTCAGAAATAGTAGAAATATAATACTGGATATATAGATCATAGATCAATATTAAGATAGTATACCAGTTTCATTTATTTCTCATCTCATTATAATCCACAATTATAATAACTAGAATAACCATGTTATACATAAAACTACCTGTTAAAGCGCTTAAGTCATCTATATACTGAGTTATACAGCTAATTAAACTCAAATTCAAAAGGAATATGTATTACATAGCACATGAGAATATCGCGATTATTATAAATATTTATTTACATAATACGATCGGGGAACAGGCTTTCGCCTACATCTTTTGTGGTCATGTACTTGATCACAGCAAAGTAGACTGTACATTTAATACACATGTACTTGTGTATTTGTTAAACAGGTTGTCCATCGAGGTATTTTGTGTATTTTTTGTTTTCATTCATTATATTGTCACCATGGGCTGAATGTAAGACAGGGCCATGTCTTTGTGTATTGGGCCTAATTCTGACCCATGTAAAATAAAGAACTTATTATTATCATTATTATAGCACGCTCTCCATAAATTAATCATTATTATTAATCTGTTGAGTGGGTTAAATGGAAGTGATATTACAAATAAATTATATCGCAATCATAAAGCAGCGTATAAATTCCTCCAGATAATTTCAAATGTTCTAAATGAAGATCTTGTTAGTGACATGTGTGATAGCCCTAGTATAAGCATTATGATTGATGAATCGACGGACTTGTCATGTGAAAAACATTTAATTCTAGTATCAATTAATTGAAAGACAGTGCTTGTAGACGTTTTTTTCAAACTTATTGACATTCATGATGCCGGGCAGATTCAATTAGCAGAATCATTGATTGCATTGTTCACTGTTTATGATATAGATGTCAATAAAATCTATGATATGGGTCGGATGTTATGCTGAGAAAGAAAGGTAGCATAGCAGCCCTTTTGAAAGAGAAATCTGCCTTCAGTTCATTGTGTTGCCCATAGACTTGTTCTTGCCATTGTTGGCGTGGCCAAAAATCTACGGGAAATAGTAAAGTACTAGTCAATGCTCAGTACCTTCACATTTTTTCCAGTCGACGAAACAGCTGTCTACATTGAAGGTCTGACATAACAATTTGGACCAACTTAAGGCGAAGCCCTGCGAGGTCCACAAGGTTTGGTAGTTGTCAATGACCCAACCAATCAATAACATCGTCAAGACTTTAGCTGCCCTATTAAAGATTGTAGATGAATCATATGATTATAACATTACAGCAGTCTATGTTTCTAACAGACTTTTTACAGAATTTGTTTGCTGCCATTGACATCCTCATAGGATTACAGTTAAAGATCCTTTCAACCAGCTGGTCCTTGGGCAAACCTCTTGGCACTGATCTTTCCTGGATTATCTGTACCCATTTATAGCTGGGAGACTGGAATTATGAGTCAATTGACTTTCACTTGTTGATTGAGATTGGAATCCACAGCCGCCATTTCTAACTGACTGTGCTCTAGTACCTCACTAAGGTGCTTAGGTTTTTGAAACCGACTCAATGTGCAACTGTTACAATATTTGTTTTCATCACTATCATTGGAGATTTTCTTTTAAACAAATTTTTGCCCTACTTTTACAACAAAAATCTGAATCATAAAATTTGAAATGCCAGAGGCAAAGTAAGTGATCAAAAACGGAAAGTGTTCTATAAACGGCCTCAAGTCACAGATAGGATTTGTGATTAAATTTGTAACTCCTCATAATCAACTTTTAAATCTTTGATTGACATCTCAATAATAATAGTAAATATAACATTTGATTGATAACTTCATCAATTACATTGCAAATCAACTTTCAAATCAGTGAACACATTTGTTACCTATCTGTCACAATGTTACGTAACTTGGTATCATTAGTGTACACATAAAATTGACAAATTAAGATATATATGTATTCAATGTTTTGGATTTTGAAATATCACACTTCATATGTTTTTAAATGGCAACTCAGACTTTAAAGTTTATGATAATTTGAAGTAATCCATTTGGAAATATATCAAAGCTGAACTCATCCAAGCTATGCTTTTAATTTACAAGGCACATCAGGTTTGATCAAAATAAACCAAGTGACAACATCGTTCACCTTTACTACAATATGGGCGTAAGAAAAATTGCCAAATTGAACCTATTCAATTCTTTTAGATGAAATAGAGCATTTGATAATCTTAAAGAAACCCTATCTTAAATTAAAATCTAAACCTTCAATAGAAAATATACTTTGGTTAGTTTATTGTTTTTATGAGTTAGTTTTCTACATGGATAACTTTGTACAAAACATCAGGTATGCAGTTTATCAATTTACAACACAAGCATATAATGTGTTGGAGTAAACACTAAGTTTTGCACGTCTTAACCATCATTCAGGGCAGTTTAAATTACTAGACCACACCTGAAACATAATAAGACACAAGATTGCAAATTCACCTGAAAAATATTTCATGTAGATTTGTGTAGATAAAGTTAGTAATTCAAAATATAATAAAGAAAGTAAGAAGACACCTTTTAATAGTGACTAAAGTACCTTATTCTACGAGCTTTCATCATCAACCACGCAGAAAGGAGCTACTCCTGACCTTCCTGTTCAAGGTAGTGGAGGGGTTATACCATTTCAGCCTTGTCTTAAACCAGTGAGAACTAAACGCAAAATGTCAGCAAGACATTTTCAAGACTTTATCTCAACAAATATCGTTGAAAATAGCGAACCAACAATAGTCGTTGTTACCGCAAAAACCAGGACTATTATAGACTACCTACTGGACAAACAAGTCCTTGCAAAATATGGGGAGATTTTTAAATCTCACCTTCACTCAGACTAATAATGTTACAACTTCATCAGGTGAAATGATTTGAAAAATAACTACAAATGTTGAATCTCTTAAGTACATAAGAAATTAGTCTTAAAAAAAAAAATTAAAAGTCTTATGATTGTTATGATGTTACAATGTTTCAATGTTTGTAGTTATACGTCATTAATATTTTTCAAATTTAGACTTCTTTTAACTCACAACAACAAAGAGTGATACAGCATTAATTTCAATTCAAAATATATTCACATTTCTTACAGGTATTCAATGAATAATAGATCTTCAGATTAAATGTTGAAATCTAAAACGCATTTCACTGGCTTAAATAGTGTTTAGTTGTGGTTATGAAATTGGTCGTTTGTCATAATTTTGTCAGAGGGGGGGCAATCGTTTTTTTTTGGAGGGCATTAAAATCAACTCCTCAAAAAGGCTTACCTGGCCTTTCAAGTTTTTTAAAATGGGAGTTCAGGGTATATGATGTTTTATTTTATTTACACTCAGTGTTCAAAGGGTAAAACATAGGCATAGTTTTCACTGTTTATAGAAGAATTTATAAATAGAAACTATCTGTCTAACAGTATACCGTACATGTATTTATATGACCAGTATAATATATCATCTCATGTCAGGTAAAATATGTAAAGAGCCCCCAGGGTTTTTATTATGTTGAAACAGAATAGACACATAAAATACCGTATTAAGCTTAATGACATTTCAAATATCACAAGTTAAGTTTCTGAATGTTAGGAACAGATTTATTTACTTCAGTTTATTTTTCCTTTAAAATACTTGTATTATATACATTGCAGTTAATGAAAAAAAATCAAATTTGATAAAACAAATCCAAATGCAGTCCAATTGTTGCCAGCAGTTGGTTGGTAATATAGATTATTTCAATTTAGTTCTTTTGTTTCTGATATTTTATTTAACCCTTTGAACCCTGAGTGTAAATGAAATATAACTTCATATACCCTAACATCAAAGCAATAAAAGTAAAAGCGTATATATGACGTCACTTAGTAACTGTTGGTATACCGACTGCTCGGGCCCCAAGGGTTCAAAGGGTTAAATTAACAAGTTTTCTACCATTGTATTGTTCTAATGATGTCATTTATAACCAATCAAAGCTCGTCATGTACTTGATAACAATCTAAGCCTAATCCATAACTTT